GCTTGGACATCTCCTGGTACCTCGTGGTCCAAATGCTGGTGGACCTGCTGTTTTTCGACTACGTGGCGAGATACAAGCTGAGCGACAAGTGGCAGGCGTTGCGCACCTGCTCCTTAGTCGTGAACAAGGCCGTGTCCAACGTCTGGTCATCACTGAGCAGGCAGCTGATGTTGAACAAGACGAACCACGACCCTATCACCAACCTCTTAGACAGCGTCACGTTGGAGCTGGCCGCCAACAGCACCTACGTGCACGAGTACCTGAGCGGCAAAGCCTTTTTAAGCATTGCAGGAAGTCGTTAGAAATATTTCGTTTGTCTCTAATAGCGAGCTGCTCCAACTGCAACGCAATCTAGTCCTGGGCACCGCTTTGTTGATGCCGTCCAATCATAGCTTCGTGCGCTCCTACGTAGACGTTAAACAACAAACGCGCACCGCCTCGCTGACGTGGCCGCCTGGCGTCGTCTGGGACATCGCCGCACTTCTGGAGATGGAAATGACTCCGCTGTACAGGGAGGAAACGAACTCCGTGTTCCTCTCTACTGCCCTCGAAATGCCTCATGTCTTCTACGCCGATGATATGGATCACCTGCTCAACTACGGCGTGCTAGGGGCTGCGCTGGTGAGAGAGCTGGTTCTAGCCGTCGCACCGGGATCGCAGCTGGACACGGCTGACCTGCTTTGGTCGTCAGAGGCGGCCGGGCAACTCCTCGAGCGATTAGCGTGCTACGCGGATCCCAGCGTACACCATCACGAGCCCAACACGACTGACTTTAAGATGGAAGTCTTTCTTGGCTGGCGAGCGTCAAGGTTGCGTACGGTGCCCTAAAGAGAAACTTCGGGATTGCGCGGCTCGGCGATTTAACGTGGAAAATGATTCAGAGGCAGTTCTTCCTTCGCTTTTGCCTGGCGGCTTGCCATTCGCCGAGTGCTGCGGTGCTAAGTGCTCGCCACAAGTGCATTTGGCCTCTCTCCGGGAATGCCGCGTTTATGGAAGCATTCGACTGCCCAGACTCGTCACCAATGTCACGTCACCCATGTCAAGCAACCATGCCGTCACCTTGGTGACCAATCGTCATCTCTTACGCTTGCTTTGTTTTATTTGCATTCAATATTTTTTTCTTCATATTGTTGTTCTACCCGATAGGCTTGAACGACCAACTAGCAATTCTATTTTCCGAACTTAATACACCTGAACGTTTTTAATCTCGGACATTAATTTGCGCCTGGAGGCGCTTAAATGTAATTTTAATACCAGCCTAAATGTCTGCATACATGTGATCTCCCTTGCGGCAGAAGACGCAAAGCAAGAAGCATGCAGCATGTAATTGCGCTGTTTCGTGTAAAACTTAAAGCGGTCTATATATAGTATGTGTATTTCCTAACCAACATGTTTATAGTAATCGCCGGAAAAGCACGAGTACGCCGTACGTTGATATTCAACGAGCGAACGTACCACCTCTGTAGCAGCGTTGTTGGGGAACTGCTGTGGTTGCACGTGCTTCTTGACTCTCGTTGCGGTAGGGCTTGCAGACAGAGTAAAAATATATATTTGTGAGGAGACGTCTATGTGTATACATGACCTCAAGATACGATGGATTTCTTAAACACATTGGAGACAGCAGTATGTGCTTATCAATGTGCTGCGAGCACATTTCGTAGCCTGCTTTTTTTCTGAATCCGTTTGGCTGTAGGACCTAAGAATGACGATTACTGAGTATGTACCGTCAAATTGACTAACTCCTAATTAAGAAGCTGTGGCTAGTAATATTAACTTGAGGACCCCTTGTCCCATACTCAGTACTAATCAAACTAGATTAATTATCTTTGCTGTTTAGTTACTATTGTGACCTTGAAAGGAAAATTGTGAAGCTATTGCAATTCAAACCTCAAAGGAGAAAACAAACGAGGCCGTGGAAAAAGCCTAGAAGTACAGAAGTGCACTTGTTTTCCTCTGAGCATGGCATAAATGAAATGCAAAGGTTCGCCTGAGTAGCGAGTGAAACTCTTTACAGCGAAAGCTGCTATGAGATCACAACTCGGGTCACGCGCAGCGCCGTAGTTGTCCGCTGCCTCCGGCAGGCGCCGCCACCGGTGTCCGTAACCTAATACCAATGACCCAGTGGGGCTCGAATCCGGGTCCACTGTGTACCAGCCCAGTATTCTATCACTGAGCCACGCCGCTGCTTGGGACTTGTTGGCAAACTTGCCTTATGCGGGCTTGATGTCGGGAAAGCAATCTCGTTAATACGACTTAAAAAGCGTTTTAAAATGGCGAGAGAACAAGCAGTCATCGCACAATGCGAATAGCGTAACGAGTGGCTCTCTCAATGTTCCAACCCATTACAAAAGCTTGTTTTTTGTTCTGCTATTAGTTAGCTGTGGCGCATACCCACTTCAGCCATATTTCTCATCGTCGTCATCCACCGCAGAAACAATGGCACGAAATTGCTTGCAATAGTTTAGTGGATACCACGCTTCTCAGAAGAATGATGAAAATAGCATAGCGAATGCTGGCCTACTACCCTCGAATTTCTATAATTACTGCCGTAGTGTGCATCAAGCAAGTCTGCTTGCAGCGGTTACCCAATGAGTGTTTAGAAAAGGCTCCAAAAGGCCACTTTTCTAGCTTTCGCTGTGGCTGTTCTGCGCCTTCCGCGCAGGCATGGCGTTTTTTTTTTATTATCATTTTTGGTAATCGAATATTACTAGATGCTATACATGATTGGTATACTGATTTGCTGTGCCAGTTATTAGTAATAATCGGAAGAAAGTTGCTAAGCCCCCCCTCCCTTTTTTAGTGTGTGTTTGGCATAACATAACACCAACGAACAATGGAGCTGGGTAAAATGGAGGGCACATTACGTTTCACTGTAGTACTATATTAGCATTTTACAGATGCAAGTGGACTTTTTCATTATTAAAGCGGATGAAAAATCAACTTTACTATTTAGGCAATATTCGGCAGATATACACCTTCGGAATCAATGTTCTGTGAAGCATGCGGATGGATGATGAGTGTGTTTTATTTTTCTTTTATTGGGCGAGACGTCATGAAGATAGAGTAAAAAGATATATTTATGGGGAGACGTCTATCTGAATACATGACCCCCCTTTTTATGTATTAATCCACGTACATGCGTATATGCTAAACAGCCACATAGCTTTTGAATGCGAATATTTTCTTAGCGAACTTAGCGAGCGAACTTGGCGAGCGTTACTTCCGGCTACGCAACTGGTTTCAAACTATCGTACAGTGTGTACTGCAAGTGCAATTGCAAAGGGGCTGCTACACCTCCATTAGTATAATTACGGTATTTTTATTCTAGTTTTTGTTATGGCATGAAGTCGCGTTGTTTTGCTGTTTTCTTGAGATAGCAATTATAAGGACACTCTCAGCTTGATTCGGCCGCCGGCATCACCGTCATTCACTGTATATGTATACGTATCTGTATATATGAAAATGCAAGAAAGAAAAAAAAAAGTCACAGCTTTCCCGCAAAGGCGAAGCAATGAGTGGTGACTTTTAAGTGATACCCAACAGTGCAATGTTTACGTATGCTCACATGCAAGCTTCCAGATCGTGTTGTGAAGCAGTTTCAATCAATAACGCTTCAATCGTACGCATGTTTATTACAACATTCGCAATCCGAAACCACACGTAGACCTTCAGAAAACACAGCGCGTGGTAGTAATGTTTGCTAATATTCTGTCGCCAGCGATTGTCGGCCGGCATCACCACTCCGCGGGGTACGATTCCGTGGTTCTGAGTACCGACCTGGCCCGTCCGAGTGTCACATCCGTCGCGGACTCTGCAAGATGCAGGCAAGCACGCGAGAGGACGCGATGTTGAGGTGGCACACTGAGTGTTGCACACGTTTCTCGTGCATTGCTGTCAGTAGGTGTTTTTTCTTTAGTTTTTATGAACAAGTGCGTGCATTGTGAGGAAGAAAAAGATCGATTTATTATGTGCAGACGCGTCACTGCTGATGTTTCTACTGCTTTCAACATAAGTGTTTTCCCTGAAAGTTCAAATACCTCACCTGATCTTTATAGATTACATTGGAACGAAACTTGTCATATAACATAGTTTTGGCTTAATCTCCATAAAGTTTGAAGACAGCGTCCCCGAGTGTTCATCAGGTTCTAAATGAGCAGTTGGGCATGATGACGCAAAAAGATAGCCGCACTAAAACCATGACGAAAAGATTCGGATTGTTTGAGTGATTACACGTCTATATACACAGGTATGAGTACAGGCATTAAGGGTAACTAACTGGATTCCCAGAGAAGGCAAGCGGGTTAGGGGGAGACAGAAAGTTAGGTGGGCAGATGAGATTAAGAAGTTTGCGGGTGCAAATTGGCAGCAGCAAGCACAGGACCGGGTTAACTGGTGGAACATGAAAGAGGCCTTTGTCCTGCAGTGGACGGAGTCGGGCAGATGATGATGATGATAATGCTGCTGATGATGATGATGATGATGAGCACAGGCAGGGCATGTGAAAGAGGGTCGGATGTCCCTTCCCCCTTCCTGAGGGGGGTGCTATGTTTGCTCCTTTCTACTCATTCGGGCCTGTACCGACATTGTTCATAGTGGAAGGTTATGATGACGCAGGTTATTGGCAACAATGGCAGCCGAGAACCGTCCCCGCTGCATAACAAAAGCTGCGTACTTCCCAACTTTAACCCAGTAAAGTAAAAAAAAACAGGTCCTCTGTGACAAGAACGTTGCCACATGGTTTTTTTATTATGGTTATTATTCCTGAATCTACTGCGAAGCTTTCTTTCTTCACGACTCTATCAGCGGGGATGTGTGTGTGTGTGCGCGCGCGCTTATGAAGCGCCTAACGCTCCATGTCTACTATTTTAGCTCCCTGTATATAGTCAGTTTCCTCCATATTTCGACTTGCCCGAGGGTAACGTATACCCGGCGCTTCACGTAACTTGAACCAAGCTCTGAAACCAAAGAGGCGTAACAGTAATAAACGAAACAAATAAGCGTCACCTATGCACCTGTAATGGTGTTCGGGCATTTACAGAGCACGTGTAGTGTGGAGTGGTTATCTTGTGATGACAATATATAAAATGTAGGCTTACGAAGGCTTTCAGACGGTTGGCCTGTGGTCTCAGTGGGTGGCTGCTCGGCGTGTGCACGGCGAAGCAGTGGAAGAACAGCGCCATGAGGGCCACGAACAGGAGCAGGTACACTACAGACATGAACGGGTGCGACTGCGAGGCAAAACGAAGCAGGAGCTGGTATCGTCTCACAGTCCTGCAACCACCTGAAACGTACACTGTACAGCACCTTGGTATTCAATGAGGCGAGAGCGTACAGACGCATTCCATGTTTGTAAACAGCGGTAGGTGCCGTCGACATACTGAGGCGCTTGTAGTGACGTCGCGGAGCGCAGACTCCGCCCATCCTGAAGCTCGACACCGCCCTAACGATCATGTGACAGCTGGCACAGCAGCTAAAAAGCTGCCTCTGAGCAAAACGAGTCGGGAAGCCTCTACCTGAACACGCGGGACGTGCGACAGGCTCCCCTCATGCAGTTGTAGGGTGCGTTAAAAACACCAGATAGTCGAAATTTCCAAAGCCAGAAGCCCGCCACTACGACGTCTCTCATAATCGTATCGTGGTTGTGGGTCATCAAACCAGTGATATTAATATTAACGTTTTGTGCCTCACGACTCTCCGACGAGAATATAAAGACCTCCTAAAAGATTTCGCATGTCTCCTTAGAGGGAGTCATATGTAAAAGGTAGTCATATTTCACAAAAAAAAGAGTCATATGATTTTTTTTGTTTTAGACTGCGCGTGAGTAGTATTGACATAGACTCAAGTCACCCTCGGTTAAGTGCCACGCATCTGTGAGTAACCTGCACACCTGTAAGCACAAAACAGCCAGCCGCTGCAGGTGAAATACCGGAAGTTGCAACCTACACAGATCAGCTTTGTTGTCCAGAGCCAACACAGACCGTTGCGGGTTGCTTTCATTGACATTACTTGCGGTCATAAGCCACCAAAACTATTAGATTTGATGAGATGAATATTCAAAAAGTATGCCACGAAACATTGTTTTAAGAATGAACCAAGAGTTCCAGCCTTTGATGAACATAGAGGTTTCGCAAGTATCTCACCCTCGCGATAGACCCATAGCCTAGCAGAAGTAGCAAGTCGGCAGAATCCATTTGTAGAAAAACAACGTTTAGACATCAATTTCTATTTTATTATGCAACTGCACGTCATCTGCCCCGCCGCGGTGGTCTAGTGGCTAAGGTACTCGGCTGCTGACCCGCAGGTCGTGGAATCAAAGCCCGGCTGAGGCAGGTCATTTCCGAAGAAGGCGGAACTGTTGTAGGCCAATATACTCAGATATCGGTGCACATTAAACAACCACAGGTGGTCGAAATTTCTGAAGCCCTCCACTACGGCGTCTCTCATAATTATATATGGTGGTTTTGGGACATTAAACGCCACAATTCAATCAACTGTGCGTAATCTCCTGTGATGTAGAAGAACGCCGGTGATTGGTCCGCCAAGGTTCGATCTGTACGAGCTTTACGGGATAACACTTTGTCGCGAATAATTGAGAAATGATAAACTATGAGCAGTCTGCATGCTGTATGAACACGCCGATGGAAGTGTGCCTTGTTCCGCAGCGCCTAGAACAAGAAACCAAACGCTATAAATTCGCAAACGTCGCTCATGAAAGGAATACGTATAGTTTACAGCCAGTGACGAAGAACCATCGAACACCAACTGGAGAGATTGACAAGAACTCGTTGGCTCGTGGATTAGCACGCGCTTTATCGTTTGCCCAAGCTCGTTATCAAAGCGGCATAGGCTGTCTGCTTACGGCGCATGCCCGATTCGTTACGTCACTGGCCACGATGTCGTCAAAAACGAGTGCCCCAGATGAATTTTCACCGGTTACTGCAAGAGCGCCCGACTTTAAAGAGAGCTATAGCTATAGGCTGGGTGCGTCTGAGGCAGTCATTTTGTATTGAGCTTAACTAGTATTCATTCATCATGTTTTGCGTAAGTGTATTCACAATTGCGTGCATGACAGCCTCGTCGCCTATGAATTCAGCCATGCCAGCTCGTGTTCGACGAATACGACGCTTCATATGGCACGTGGCCGGTGAGTCTAGATCGGCATACCGCCACCACCTTTTTCTTCTCTGGTTCTTCTGAGGCATCGCGGAATTATTGACGTTTTCTCGCTCATCGAAACTCCCATATTGCCCGCTCGAGCGCCGCCGGAAACTTCGTCGAATTCTCGTTTTTAATAACAGTAAATCACCACAAAAACGCGCTTTGGGATTGGTTGCATACGAATAATATTATTGGGAGTTTTACTTCCCAAAACCACGATACAATTATGAGACACGCCGTAGTGGAGGGCTTCGTAAATTCTGACCAGCTGATTTTTTTTTTCATGTGTGCCCCACCGCAGTGGCTTTGTGAGGGCCCTTACACGCGCTAGCCGCACACCCGCTCCGCACTGTGGCGGGACCCCTGCCGCCCGCAAACGGAGAGCGAAATGGCGGCCCAGCGCAAAAAATGCAACACAAGCGCTAGCTGCATGGGCTTTGCGTGAGCGGCTCTGATGCGCACTCTGGTTGGACGACGCGACGACTGTTTAGGCTGTCAACCAATTGGCGGAGCTTCAGTATTCGAGGTCGGCAACCATCACCAACAGCACACGACGCTGACAAGTTCTTGAATGCGTTGGTTCAAGCCGCCACGTTTATCATGAAATTGAAGCTGTTGTATTTTCACGACGCGTTTTTCGGCCGCAAGTGTTTCGTCGCCGTAGTCATCTGTGTTCGAGGCTAATTACGCGCTCCCTTTTTGTTTTTGTCGTCGTCGTTACCGCACACAAGTCGTATCACTCGAGTTGCATTTGGCGCGACGGCGATCTTTTACAGCTAGCACGAATTCCACCGCCAACACGCGCAAACGTTTTGTATTACGATGAAGAAAAGGCCTACAGTGGCAGCGGCATTGTACGCTGCGATACCGCGATGCTATCTACAAATAGCCGAAGGAATTGACTGGTCAGTAATGTTTATGATTGGGCGCTGGTGTATATCGTGTTGCGCGGCTTGCTGACGCTCTCTTTACTTTGCTCTATACAAGTTCGTGTTTACTATATAACATGTCACAATGAGCTCGGCAAGTATTGAGGTAATTGAAGTTTCAGTCTAGAAGAAAATGTTTAGCATGTGTGATATATTCATTAAAGCTGGAATTAAACGTATGTGCATATCAAGTAGTCATGCATCATATGAGAGGCGCTATAGCTTGTTTTTAAAAGAATCCAAATATGAAGCGTAATGTGTGTTTACATTTTATGCAAGACACCTTGTTGCTTGTCGAAAACACATGTGTACATTTTTTGTTGGTGTACGTAAAAAATGACACCACAAACATCGCTGTTACTTATACTCATCTGAAGGTTTCACACTTTATTTGCTACAACCCATTCACTTCTACATTCCTGTTGCTCACCTCATCATCTTTTCTCATCGGCAATATGGATAAGTTTGATTACATACTCTGACACAGCCTCAATGCTACACGGACTAACATGATGTCATAACCAGGTTTTTATTTCAAAATATTAGCTTTCTCCACCCACTTGAATGCTCTGTGGATGATGTGTGACAAATTTTCGGTGATTCAGCTCCCTTTTCTCCCACTTGAGTAATTGTTAGCAGGAAATATTCTGTTTGGCTATGTTCACAGTAGTCCAGTGAAAGGCATGTTTGAATAAAATGAATTTTTCTTTTGGACGTCAATGAAACCACGAATCTCGTTCACTGACGCATATTTGTGCTTACTCTAAGGTAAACCTTCTTTCTCATCACTCAATATCTCAGTCTCTTCTGGGGAGCCTGAATTCCATCCATTTTCATATTCTGCTAGCTGGCGCAGAGTGCCAAATGCAGTAAAACATGGGCAGCATCTAAGGCATTCCCTCTATGATCAGTTGAGCTGTGCACAACGTCTGCTTCTGAGACACATTTGCAGCTAGCAGTCATTTTGGGGCATAACTTGTATCAGTAAACTCAAATCATTTGTCACTTCTGCAATTCATGAATTTTAAGGTTCTTGCTAAGAAACCTTGCTGAAAATGTAGATGTCCTGTAATGTGTAAGGCTTCAGAAGAGACAAAATCTGTTCTCTCCTTAGGGGGCAGAGAGGACCCTTCTGTTCCCTTTAACTCTGGCAACATAAACAAGAACAGCCACGCTGTGCAAGACAATTCTATTGGTACAAGGCATGGCCTTGGCTTTAACTAGCTGTCCTCGGGACAACATGTGATACAATTTGTGATGTCTTATTTTTTGGCTGACAAGTTAACTAGTATAGACTATTTTGCAAAATCTCCCACATTACCCTGAATTCTGAGTGGTGTATAAGTGCTTGAGCTTCAGCACTTTATTTTTTTGTACACATGCATCCTTCTATTCTAAATGTGCATGTAATGTGTGCCTTCACATTATGCTTACACATGGTCATGGCAACGATTGACAACACTGAAGTGAACACCAGATTGTGTGTGGGCTGCCACCAGGGTGTAGGCAGATTTTTTTTATATTTTTTGTGGGCATGGAATTGGAGGAGGGGAACCACCAAGATCTTAAGTGGGGCCCGGTTCCTGAATGTGATCGAGCGTCATTTTGCCCTCTGTATACTGCGGAGTAAAATATTCAAAAAAGAGAGGAGGGTGTGAGCCCGGTGTGCCAACCCCTGGCTTTGCCACTGGGCTGCATCAACGTTGTATGCCTTGCCCTACTAAGCATAAGATGTGTATGCATAGCCTCTTTCCACTGACTACAGGGTGAACATGATGTGACATGTGGAGTTGATGTGGGGCATTGGCATGCTAATGTTTTTGTTGTATCATCCTAAAATCAAATATCAGCCATGCTGAACTTGCCCATCGAGCCGTTTCTTTCTGTCACCTGTGGTAGTAACGTAAATGTAGTTGGTAGATCACTAATTGTTTTCTGCGGATAACATGAGTCTCTTTCATATTGCTCTTGTAATACTGAAGCATCATCAGCAAATTGCAAGCCCTTCGTGAGTCAGTCTGATGACACATTTTGTCTGTCTGTGACAGTCTGTTGCCATAGAGCAGAACAGAAATGGCTCAACATACTCATGAACACCCCAAGAAGATGATTACTTACAGCGTTATTACTTTTGTAATATGTGAAATATGTAGCTGTTGTTTGACTAGAAAATTTTGCTTCAGAAAACCACGTTATTGAAAAAAAGTCTGTTTTTATTTGCAGTAAATTTATATCTTGCTCATGGTCTTCCCTTGTCTTGTACCAGACTATCACAGCATCCTTATACAAATTCAATATTGATTTTGATTATTGTTTTTTAATGTCACCACTGTGAGAACAAATAGCAGTAGATAAAAATCCACCTGCGGTATTTCTTCTTCTCACAGCGGTGATGCTTAGTGCCAAATTTCATTCATGCGTTTATTCAGTATAAAGCATTACAAGTGCAGAGTGGGCACCAAAACCTACAAAACAAGGCCCTGGTGGCTGACCATCTGCCACTACATTTCATTTAAAAATGTATGATTCCATGATCCCATGCGCAATGCATGGCTTACACCACGTAAATAATTCGTTCTGTCTTCTACCATAGTGTGGGACGGCTTGAGGCCCTCCCGTAGTAGAGTACGCAGTACTTCAAGTCGTTTACTGTTTTGTCTGACCACAATGGCTTTATGCTCTCCCATAGTAGAGTGCCATGTACTCTCAATCGTGAAACACTTTTAAATGCGAAGCAATCTTAGCGATCTTAGGCGGCTTTGAGCGTATCTATCTATCTATCTATCTATCTATCTATCTATCTATCTATCTATCTATCTATCTATCTATCTATCTATCTATCTATCCGCCTACGACTTATAGCTCTCCTGGCCGTTTCGATAACGGTATCGATACCAAACTTGGTATGTCATATAATGATGGTATGACAACCATGTGTGACTAATCATAACATGAAAATAATGACATCTATATCATGATTCTCGTGACTTGCATTTCATGGTCTTGCTGCTCTTCCGGTGGTTTCATTCACATGACATGCTGTAAAACTTGTATAGTATGACATGACTGCATGGCGAACACAAGTACAGACCCTAACGTGTAAATCAGGACATGCATGTCATGAAATCCATGAGTCATGACTACACGCCACGCTCATGGTGCGCGTGCGGTCGTTTCGCTAGCTTCACATATACTGAATTAGGTATTACGCGACGTGAATGCACGGCGAACGTATATGACTGGTGCAAACATGATAATCATGAGATGCGTGTCATTTTAGAACATGACAACATACCACGCTCATGAAGCGCTCGCGGCCATGTCGCTAGCCTCACAAATACCAAATTTGGTACTACGTGACGTGAATGAACGACGAACGTAAATTACATGTCCAAGCATTATAATCACGATATGCGTGTCATGTGAAACATGACTACATGCTACGATCATGGCACACTCGCGGCCGTTTCGCTAGCTCTACATATAGCAAATTTGGTGTCCCGTGACGGGAATAGACGACGAAGGCAAAAAAACATGTCCTAAACATGATAGTCATGATAGGGAAGTCATTAATGGCTTAATTTACGTCTGCCTCGTAACGTTCCGCAGATTTAAAAGTGGCATATCAACCTTCCTCATTCGTGCTTCACATATCATCGATTCCCACTGTACGTAGGATCTGCCATTTTTTTTTAACAGGCAGACTGGGACGGCTTTCGGCTCACCTATAGTAGAGTACCTATAATATTCTGAATCGTCAAACACTGCTTCTGTACAGACTTCAACGCAATTCAACTGACGGCGCTCCTATATCACACCACTCATACGAAGCCGGCACGCGAATTGCTCAGGAACGCACTGACAGCTTTCACTTGACCAACGCGCACAGAGATTCTTAAACTGCCAACGCAACGTAGCAGGAGGTGACGCGGCAAGATTGCTTTTGTGTGTAACCTGCTACAATGCGATAAAAAGTGTGGCCGAAATGATATTGGGGTTTTTGCCAGAGGTAAGACAGAAGCTGCGCGCAATGTACAGACGTTATTGCCATGGCATCATGAACCCGGATTTCGCGCTTGCTGGCGCCACAACACCGTGGTTTTGAAGTTCCGTTCTGGTCATCTGATAGACGCCACAGCGAGCGTTTTATGCGCGAATTTGACCCCGCCTTCCAGGTAACCTTAAAGCAATCTTGTGAGATTCAACGTGGTGCCGTTTCGAACCGTTCTGTTATTATCATGGCGTGCCGTAAATCACGTGGCATAGCCGTTCCCTATCAGCAAACAGTCAATTCTAGGAGCGCATAAGGATGGTTTCGCTTCATGCATTTTTCTTCGTATTAGCATAATACTCTTAAATACGGCATATTTAAGCTCAATAGTCGTTCCGGCTGTATATGATTGTGCTCGTCGAGAGGATTAAAACTTAGTTTTCACGGAAGGAGTATAAAAGGGGTTCTCTCCAGTGTGTGTTGGTTGGGACCCCAAGTCCAGGGCCCCACTAGCTGGAGCCGTTCGCCTAACTTCACTCGGAAGCGCTAATTGCGCCTCTGGGGCCGAGCTGGCGAGTTGTGCCTCCCACTGGTCCGAACTTCCTACAATAGTGTTCAGGCTAAAAAAGTGGAGTTCAAATTCTTCGTGTGATATAAAGTTGGCAAACCGCCGCCCCACTGACAAGAAGTTGCGGTGCTTGATCATAGCGTGCACCCGAAAGCTCAGCGTATGATATAAGCATGAAACTAAGTGCCTGGCCGGATAATTAGTCTCAATATCCCGAACACGCGCAAAGTGCCTTAAGCATTCACATATGGTGACTCGACGACAAGCGCCGTCTTCCTGTTCTTATCAGTGGAATGTATTGATTCTCTCTTGCCCCCCTTCGACAACGTTCTGCCCTCAAGACTCCAGGAACGGAGGCATTCTTAGCTTTTTGCATCTCACCTGGTTTGGCATCGCCTCCATGATCAGCACACCTTTGTTCAAGTGATTGATATGTGGGGTTTAACGTCTCAAAACCACCGTATGATTATGAGAGACACCGTAGAAGAGGGCTCCGGAAATTTCAACCGCCTGGGGTTCTTTAACGTGCCTTTGTTCAAGAGAATAGATGATAATGAGGTGACGCTATTTTGGCGATCTGTGACATATTGTGCTGTCACATGACGGCTTCATCACGGGATCACGTTATTTGCACCACTAGTGTTGACGCCGGCACCGAGGGACGCCGGCGGGGAGTTCCCACATTTGAAGAGACACCAACGGTTTCTGCCCTAAAAGTTTAACTACGTATTCATTCTTCGTGCTTCGTGTACCTATACTTCATGTGCCAAACACGCTCAATCGCAAATTTTAAACGTTCACTGATCGTCGGCATACCGAGGTTTCATCAGTAATGATCCGCGCGATTTCGGGCTGTTATAGAATAGCCCGAGGCATGTGAACACTGAGTATACATCACTTAACAAGCAGAAAAGCCGGCTCACCTTAATATATTCTTCGACAGACTTATAGGTTTTAGGCGCAAACAGCGCATCCTCAAGTTTCGTCAGCGATCCGAGCTCGTCCGAGTAGCGACACTTCTGGAAGATGTCACAGTAGCCATGTCCATCACAAACGGAGCCCGGTGGCATCTTGGCCCCGCAAAGCGACTTCATGGCGGGATAGTGGCAAGCGTCGTTACACTTTCCTACAGACAGCGCAGAGAGACATTGCATCAACATTGTGTACAACGAAACCTGCATGCACAGTTCTGTTACAATGCATGAAAGTAAACGTCGGGTAGAGTCTCACTAAAGGCGCGAAAACCGAATCGTTCGTTCACCCTCGCCTAATTATTCTGAATTACTTTTTAAATGCCAAGCATTTCTCAGCGAACGTCGGTGACTTTGAGCGTATCTATCTATCTATCTAGCCGCCTACGGCTTTTAGCTCTTCTGGCCGTTTCTATGACGGTATGGACATTAAAATTGGTATGCGATAACATGACTGTAGGACGAGCATAATAGACAAGTTATAACATGAAAATCATGACATGTATGTCATAAATGTCATGATTTACATTGCATGGTCTTGCTGCTCTTGTGGCGGTTTCGTTCACATGACATATTGCAAGACTGATATAATATGACATGACTGCATGGCGAACAGACCCTAACGTGGAAATCATGGCATGCATGTCATGTAAGTCATGACTACAGGCCACGCTCATGGCGCGCTCGCAGTCATTTTGCTAGCTTCAAATATACACATTTGGTATTACGGGACGTGAATGGATGACGAAGGCGTATGACTGCTGCAAACATAATCACGAGATGCGTGTCATGTAAGAACATGACTACATGCCACGCTCATGATGCGCTCACAGCTGTTCAATTTCTTCACGTATACCAAATTTGGCATTATGGAACGCGAAGGGACGACGAAGGTAAATGGCACGCCCAAACACTATGATTATGACATGCGTGTAATGTCAAACATGACTTCCTGCTACGCTCATAGTGCGCTCGTGGTCGTTTCGCTAGCTCCACATATACCGAATTCGGTATGAGTAGATGTGAATAGACGACGAAGGTAAATGGCATGTCCAAACATAATTATCGTGACATGCGTGTCACGTAAAACATGACTGCATGTCACGCTCTTAGCGTGCTCGCAGCCGCTTTGCTAGCTCCATATATACCGAATTTGGTATTACGGGACGCGAATAGACGACAAAGGTAAATTGCACGTCTAAACATGATAATTATGACATGAAAGTCATGTACAACATAATTTACATTCGCCTGGCAACGATGTCCTGATTTTCAACCCTTCTTATCCGTGCTTTACATATTATCGATTCCCGCTGTACGTCAGGTCCGCCAATTTTTCATCATAGAAAGCAAGAAATGAGTCATCTCTTTGCCGTACCTTCGTACTCGCAGGCGATGCGGCACTTCTCGTCGACCGTGTACTGATTTCCCGTAAGGAAGCACGGCCACATGCCGTATTTGAGGCAAATCGAGCCGACACATTCGCCTGCGATGCACACCCGCGTGCCGCTGTTGCAAACGGTGTTGTTAGGCTTCGCTTTCCCCACGGGGCAGGAGGCATTGAGGCCGCTGACAATCTTGTGAAGGATCGTAGCTCCGTAATGACCCGCGGGCTTTTTAAATGCGTAGCAGCTATCAAAGCTCAATCTGGTGTGATGATGATGATGAAAAACATTTATTATAAAAGAGAGAGGTACGGGGCCAAAGCATGACCCTGCTACATGGTCGGCGTCCTTAGTCCGGGACACCGCATGACGAGGCCCCTACTCGCGCCCGTCTCACCAGAGCCCGTTGAGACTCTAGTGATGAGCCGTCGAGGAGGGCAGTCTCCCATGTCTCTCGGGAAGGGGTAGGGAAAGGGGTAGGTAGGGATTTTTCAGACATGCCCATACCATGTGGAAGATATCACACGTCTCCCCACAGTGTGGGCACCGCCCATCTGTGTTCGCATCGAAATGCTTTAGGATTGCAGGACAGAGTAGAGTACCTGTCTGCAGGCGCCTTAGAGTTCGCTCTTCCGCCTTACTCAGCCCCTTTGCAGGAGCCGGGTAAAGGCGGTGAGTGTCACGATAATAGGTGAGAATTTCTTTGAACCGCAGCAGCGGTGTATTGGCCTCCGAGTCAGAAGAGCCAAGGTGAGGAGCCCGGTGGGTAAGCGCTCGGGCGGCCGCGTCAGCGGCCTCATTACCTCGTAGGCCCTGATGGCCAGGAGCCCATACGATGCGTTTCGGGGCTGGATCAGCGAGAGCCCGTTTTAGAATTTGGCTGGCTAGGGGGGATATCTCTCCTACCAAGTAATGAGTACATGCTTTCCTGGAGTCCGTGATGATAACTTTCGAGTTGGGGTCCGCAGCAGCAAGCGCTATCGCGACTTCCTCAGCGCGCTCTGGATTTTGTGCTCGGAACGAGAGCCCATTGACATGCTTTTCCCGGTGAACTACAGAGGCCGTGTAAAATCCCGTGGGCGAAGGCCCTGCTATATCTACGTAGAATACACCAGGTCGGGAGCCGTGTTGCTTCTCAAACGTCCGAGCCCGCGCCTGTCTTCTGCTTTCGTGCGTGTGCTTATCCATGTTACTGGGGAGTGGAGCGACCGAGAGCATATGCCGCCACAGTTCCGGAATACGCTCCGCCTCCTCTGCAGTGCAAGTGTGCTGTATATGTAATCGGTTTAGCAGGCGGCGCCCGGGAGCCGTCTGCACGAGCCGCGTATACTGATTCATAAGGTGGGCCTCCCGCAACTCCTGGTAGGAGTTGAGCACACCTAACGCCCTCAGTTTGGCGTTGGAAGTGGCCACCGGGAGATCCAGAGCTCGTTTAGTAGCCTTACGAATGATGGCATCTATTCTTTCGTCTTCTTGCTTGTTAGTGCGAAGGTATGGGACGGCGTAGAGGATTCGGCTAGTCACGAAGGCATGCGCGAGCCGAAGCGCGTCTCTGCCCCGCAGACCACCCCGCTTGTTGGAAACGCGGTGGATCATGCGCCCTACCTGTTCGCCTATTCTCTTGAGTTTCGCTATAGTGGAGTCGGGTCTGAGTCTGTAGTGAATGAACAGGCCCAGAATTCGGAGCTCCTACACCTCTCTGATGGGAACCCCAGACAGGGAGATGTGTATGGCTGACTTATCTCTTGGATTCGCTCTAACGTGCAGAAGCTCTGATTTGTTTGGAGCACATTGGAGTCCACAATCGTTGGCATACGCCTCGACTATGGATGCGGCCTGCTGAAGGCGTTCCTGCATTTCACCAAGGCTCCCTTCAGTGGTCCAGATTGTAATATCGTCGGCATATACTGCGTGTTGTGTGCCTTCCACCCTGGCCAATTCGCTTGGAAGGCGCATCATAGCAATGTTGAAAAGGAGTGGTGATAACACTGCTCCCTGTGGGGTACCCCGTGTTCCCATAATGTACGGGCCATATTCCTCGTCCTCGATCCGAAGAAGTGCCTGCCGTTTAGAGAGAAAATCTCTGACATATGCAAAGGCCTTAGCCCCGCAATCAGTGGAGCTCAAGTTAGCCAGGATGCTGCTGTGTTTAACATTGTCGAAAGCCCCCTTCAGATCAAGGGCGAGGATGGCTTTATCATTGTGTTGCATACTTATGGGCTGTATGACGGCCCTATGGAGCTGGAGAAGGACGTCCTGTGCAGACATGTGTGGGCGAAACCCAAACATGGTGTCTGCAAAGAAGCCCTTGCCCTCAAGGTATGGGGAGAGGCGATCCCGTACCATCGTCTCCATAAGCTTGCCCGCGCACGAAGTCAGTGATATGGGCCTCAGATTTTCCGTATAAACTGAAACTGGTGACCTGTAGTAGTTGGTGGCTGGACTGTATGAAGGGAGCGGCGGTTGGGCAGAAGGTCGGCGGACGGCTTCTGCATAAGTCAGCGGTGCAGCCACTGATATTGGGGATGTGGGCGAAGGGAGAGCCTCGGCAACTTGCGTCTGAATAGCACGGCGAAGTGAGTGGTCCAGTGTTGTGGGGGTCTCGTTGATGGTGGCGACAAGAGAGAGCTGTCGAGCAACTTCCTCCCGGATGTACTGTTGAATTTGAGGCATTAACACGCTGTAGTCGGGGCCACTGCTTTTGCACTCCAAGGCCGAAATATCAGCTGTCTGCGTATTAGCGCGACGTGTAGAAACTCGTTGCTTGCGCAGCTCATCGAAACTTTGACATAACTGAATCAAGGCCGTGACGGTCTGTGGGTCTTTGGCCACAAGCATATGAAAAGCGTCGTCATCAATGCCTTTCATTATGTTCTTTATTCTGTCAGCCTCCGTCATCCTGTCATCAACTCGCCTACAGAGGCTGATCACATCCTCAATGTAGCTTGTGAAGCTCTCACCATTTCGCTGAAATCGTCCCCGCAGTCCCAGTTCAGCGCGAAGCTTACGCATGGCTGGACGACCGAAAAACGAGGTGACGGCCTCTTTGAAAACCGACCAGGTGGGGATGTCGGCTTGGTGGTTGGTGAACCATAGGTTGGCCAAATCCGTCAAGTAGAAGATGACGTGAATCAGCTTCGCAGGGTCATCCCACTTGTTAATCGCGCTGGCATGCTCGTACTCTGCCAGCCAGTCCTCGACATCTTGATCTTCAGCGCCGTTGTATACTGGTGGGTCACGCAGACGAAGTACACCAGAACACATGACGGGTGGCAGCGTGGAAGAGCCTTGTGGGGGATCGACGCGCTCGGTCATCGTGGACTGAGATGGTAGCTTACGGCTGCGGAGCTCCAGGACGTTACCCAGCACGTTTCCACCAAATGCAACGAGCAAGGTTGCGTAAAAACAAAGGTTATTGTTCCAGAAACGTTAGCCGCAACAAGCTGGTACAGGCAGGAACCCGGCAAGCACGAGCCACACACGGACGTCAACGTCTTCTTTCACGCTGGCACAGAGCTGGCGCCACTATGCTTCGGTACAATATATATATATATATATATATATATATATATATATATATATATATATATATATATATATATATATATATATTCTCTTGAAATTAGGCGCGAATTGAGTTAGGTATACGGTGTCTGCAGCCAGATTATTCTGCCCTATTATTTTTCAAATACGACATTTAAAATTGCATGGGCGTTAGAATGAAGTACGCAACAGAAGCAGTAATAGAGACGAGGTTTCGTATCTGGCAATTGAAAACACACCTCGGACCCACTTCATGTGCCGTTTCAAGGACATCCTTTTACTGGTGGAAGAGTGCAAATATAAAAAAATAACGTCGCCTGACATTTTTGAAGCTTTTGAGAACAACATGTGGGCCTGAAGATTGTATGAAATAGGTGACCGTGTATGCATTTTCAAGTTGCCATTATATTGTACAGAGTTATGTCTTGTCGGTTCAGATTCGCAGTGATGAGCACGTTAATAAGTGATTAGAAATCAGTGTTGTACGCGTGGGGTTCATTGAGACACTGCGGCCTCAAGCTTACTGTATAAGTTGGTAACTTTGCGAAAATCTTGTTTCTTACAAATGAGCTTCTTGTGCTTCGAATGGCGCAGTCTGCGCAATAACATTGCTAAGAGCTATACTTTGCCGCCATGAAACGCACAGCAGCAGAGCAATTAGCTCGAGCACTATCGGTGCCAAATGCACTGTGAGCAGCGGATTGAGCGCATGGCCAGTACAAATCATCTGCTACCGCCATCTGATATGGGCGGGCGAACCCACTCGTTCATAGTTTAGCGTTTGTTCCCTTTTAATTTGACTCTTGGAGCGCCTCCTCTCTGGTTTTCACCAAGATGCATCGCGTAGTTTCCCTGGCTAAAGCAGCTGTCGCCCGCGTGCAGGAAGCGAGCCACTCGTAGCTTCTCGACAAGAACTTTCAGGAGCTTTTCACCAAGGAAACGCAGTCAAACTTCACCTTCCACGTCGATGTCTTGTGCGGGCGCCAAAGTGTTTCTTGTGCGGGCGCCAAATGCGGTCGAGGAACTCGACTTACAGACAGCGAATCTATGACCTTGGCCGATTGCCTCTGCTTACGCGCCAAGCACTTGCGTCGGAATCCTGCTGTGCCAACGTTAGTTCCGTCACCTTGGGACAATTTTATTGAAGTATACAAGTACGTATTGTAGATGTGCTTTTGTTCGCGTTTACCTTGAACGCACAACAAGTGCAAGCAATGCCTCCTACGCCTGCAACGTTAGCAGCTATGCGAGCAAAGGGCGGATAAAATGGCTATGCTCCAATGTCCATGCATGGAAGTTACCCCCGGCTGTATCGCTATCTATCCGTCTGAGTCCACTTTGCCCCGGAACACACCGGATTGTGCGCGCTTGCTTTTTCGTTAATACAGCAGTCATAGCCGCTCCCTTGACCAAGTCATTTAGAAATTCACGTCCTCGGTGCTGTCGACAGCTATTTCAGAGCTGATTGACATCTAAGAAACTAAAGCATAGGCCGGCATTCCATACTTATCGGGCAGAGTCGATTACTTTTTCTTTTTTTCTTCTTCCTTCCTTCTTCCCTTACTTATACCCTTTAATTCCACTACCCATCCTCGAGCCGACCTGTTGAGGTGTCATCGTAAGGATAGACAATTACGGGTGGCACTTCTCTCTTCCTTTTCTTTACATAGTCACATAGTAATACTTATCGGGCAGAAAGTATTATCTACAATTGCCTATAATTGCTCAAGGGCATTTTTTGACGGCCCGGAACTGCAAGTGAAATGACATTATGCAACATGTTTTTATAGATTGTGAAAGCTGATGTCCAGAAGAATAAGTGGGGAGAGCTCAAGAATTATTAAAAATGTTTTAATCGCCATCAGAAGTTTCTTTTGCATGCTCTGGAAGTTAGCGCAATCATATATTTTTATTGAAGAGTGTTAATAATATAAGCTTTGGCAGTTTTATAAGGAAGCATGCTGAGAAACTAGTGCGGAAAATAACTGACCTTAAGCACAAATACGCCTATATTGTTGATTTACTGTGCTTCGAAAAAACATATTACAGCAAAACTAGCAAAAACTAATTGCGGATCTCTTCTTTCCACTCATCAGGCAGCAATATATAAAAATCTGAAAGAAATTCAAGAGGTCGACCAGTCATGCTTTGTTCGATCTTTACGTGGAATCACCCTATAATGGGTTGGTTGTCACTTCCTTTATTTCATGGTTTATGCGACGAATAGCACTCGTCGTCTCGTTGCCACTTTCTCACTCTTCCTGGCTACGCAATCGCTACATTTGTTCGCTGCGTCTTTGCATGTCGGTGACCTGTCATAGCTTCACGTGACCGTCTACCTGACCTGCAGCATCCGTACATGCAGTGCGCGAAGTCCGGGCATCACTCAAGCGGCCTTCGCGAGCTTTTTACATGCGTATGGGAATGGGTTGGTGGCAAAAACAATGACATGCTTGTTTTGCGAGTTCCTACGCTGCAATTGTTAAATTACGTGGTTGCCTTTGGGTATCCCAGCATTGCAATCGAAGGACCCGATCGAAGGACCCAAGAATCACTCCTTCGATTTTACGAGCTTCCGTATTTTGCGAACAATCCGCACATGGTCATCAATTTGTTAAATTGTGTTTTAACTTTACGTAGTTTCTGGTTGCCCAGCTTCACCGTCTTGTCGTTTCCGATTGGCGCAACGATGTGCACATGTTAGCACCGATGGCGCCTTACGGTCAGACAAATACGGGTATGTTCCTTTCCACATGGGCAACCGACTGGAAAAGCACTGACGGTAGCAACATCGTTCTCCGACGTGTTCATACCTGCAAGCAGCGCCTGGCTTGAGGGTGCACCCTCGAGCCTTGACGCTGTTTTTGCGAGCGTAGCAGCACTTTTCTTGGCACTGGGACTCGGTGTAGCCGCAATCACACTGCTCCTCCCCTTCGACCAAGTTGTTGCCGCAGATCGGTCCGCTGTCAGCTGTGCGAGAATAGAGACGGAATGTGGGAGAAAGTTTACGAGGAGTCTCTCTAGCATTATTCTTTTGTGCTACGAGAGTAGCATTCACTTCACAGCTATCCATTGGTTATCAGCTGTGACCTGCATGTCGACGACACCATTGACTTTCCTAAAAATCAACTACGAGAGACTCTGGCACTGCAATCGCTGAACTACAATGTGAATAATGTGCAGTGCACAAATTTGAGTAGTCTTCATGTTTGCGACTTCGAACACACTTGTGGCCTTGATTATTGCTGCGATATGAACCGTAGGGAACTTCATGACCATATTTGAATTGGTGAGCTTAAAAGGTTAAGGTGGTGAAGTGCAACTGCTGAACATTTGCCGATTTTCGCCTTTTGACAAAGCGGCTCCGGATCACGAGAAGCCAAACGGAGTCAAAGGAACTAAGATTAGACAATTTCGTGTACTGCCCATCATTCCCATGCTGTCTGAAGCACCATGCGTTGCAGCTCCCGTAGACAGTAGCGCCACAGTTCCCTCTAGTGTATTTATAGGTAACACTATGGACGATATCTTAAAACTGCCCTGAGTTTCAAGACGAATTCCGATATTTGGAACGGGTTGTAGAACAGTGGGTCTGTTCAAGCCGGGCGTAAGGCGCAATTATTGTACTGAAAAAACCGCGCAGAATGATGACATTTTTGATCCGCCGAAACTATGACATCGTCTAAGGCGAGGTGATCTTTGAGAGCCTTGCCTTCGAAGCAGTTCTCCCGCTTGCTGGTGCCCTGCAGCATGGGCTTGATGACGTTGCTGATGTTTGAGATGCTGCACGGCGAGAAGTGGTGGTTGTTGGGAAGGGTGCCTTTCGTAGTCTGCCAGTACATGATGTAGGTGCCAGCGTTCTTGTCCTTCGGAACGCACGGACTGCTATCTGGTTCGTCGTGCTGCGGGGCAAGCACATTCGGCAACGAACGAGGATCGCTCCATACGTGTTTTGCGATTCAAACAGTTATTAAGGTGGAGCCCTTAGATGCCTCATCAAAAGTGAAAAGTGGCCGTCGGTGCCCTGCACCATCGGCGTCAACACAAGTAATGCAAAAAAAAATTTATCATCACGTGGCGACATCACCGTGTGACGTCGTCATGACGTCAGAGATCACGAAAATTTGAGAACTCATCGTAACGTCACAATGGCATCACATAACGTCACGTCGCATGATGACGTCTTCACATGACATCACCGGTTGGTCAGAGGTAGGCCAATCACAAAGGCCGTACAATACCAGGGGATATACAGAAAATTTGCAGTTCCTGGGATCCTGGAGGTGGTGCAAAAGTACGTTACGCGCAGAAAGCTATGAGATTGGTGAGTGAAAAAGAAGGGACTTTTCGTATTAGAATTGTTCTAATAAGCGAATAAATAAGGAAATCTGTGCAGTTTTTTGTAGGTCAATGTTTTGAAGACAGTACGCCACCACTGGCATGAACGAGCCAAAACGTAGCGCGCTTGCCTTTGCATTTGGAGAGTAGCGGGTTGCATTGGTCGTCGAACGTCAGCTTTTTCGGCTGACCGAGGCGTGTGTTGTAGCGCGAGTGGTTTGTGAGTGTTTGATGATCTAAATGCTTTGGTATAGAGCTTCGAAAGGACAGCCGTACTCTACTGCTGCATCTGCTGGATGTTACATATCGTGCTTGGCTTGGTATAGTAAAGCATAAGGCGTGGTGTGTAGCTGCCTTCTATAGCAATATGCACCATGCTATACTGTACAGTAACGCACCATCTCTCACTATTGAGCGAGGCATCATGTTATTTGCCAGTGCTGCGTAGCATACTTAGCAAACGCTTGTTTATAGCACTACGCAAGATTGATTATTGCACTACGTGAATCTCAACAAAAGTGAGCATTGGCATTTGGGCACGCTGCTGGTCAGACGCACGTAAGATACAGCACTAATTCACCCGTTAGCCCAAACACAGCATGCTGAACGGCACTCACGCAGCGGCACAGCTAGTGTGTGCACAATTCTATTCCCCATCCGTGAAAAGTTGCAGATTTTAACCAAGCGGAACATTTCGTTCCTTTTATTTAGCTTTGTTTTTTGTGTGCGTTTGCTTTCGAGCACAGCTTGAGACAAAAACAATCAAATATCTAAAAAAGGGGATGCTGTAATAACGACAGAAGACAGAGCCTTCAGCATATAGCGATGCATATAGCGATGCAAGTGCGTGGGGGGGGGGGGGGGGGGGGGGTAGCGGCGCTACACTTTTTTTACCACACGCAGGGAGGCGAAAAGTTTGCCTCATGCTTTCACTGAGTTCGACTTGTCCTGTGATTATTTAAAGATTTGAATTATGGCCAAGCAGAGTTCTGGCCATAATGACGGCCAAAGACATCCGATTACGCATGCCAAGAACTGCTTACTCCAACATTTACTCCCGGAAAGTCATCAGGGTCCAACGGCAAGCCGCTGCGAGAAGCACGCCATTGTTTTATTTTCATTCAGTTTTTTATAATGATGTTACGGGGAACAAGTATACACTGGTGAGCAAATTCGTACTGGCGAATATACTGGCGAGCTAATGCGTACGACGCTGCTGCAGTCCGAGCACGTTCCCGTTCAGCACTTCGTCGTCGTCATCCTCAGGCATCTACTTAGCCCGTGACATTACCCGCCGGCGGCAGAAGCACCGTCCCGGTGCGATCAATTCTCGTGGCGTGAGAAATATGGCTTAAGCCGTGAGACGTGCACTATATCGGTCGGAACTGAAGCTGGTACTGACGTGGTATGGAGTGGAGCTATCTCATAGGTCACGGTGGTGACCTTGCGTATGACGTGGTAGGGGCCAACGTAACGGGACATTAGTTTTTCGCTCAGACCAACACGACGTGATGGTAACCACAGCAAGACGAGTGATCCCGGAGAGTACTGTACGTCGCGGTGCCGGCGATCGTAAGCACTCTTTTGGTTAAGCTGCGAGGCAAATAAACGATCCCGGGCGACTTGGCGGGCAATGTCAGCTCGGGCCAGGGCATCACGAGCATAAGCAGTCGATGAGGGGGCGTCAGATTGGAGCATGGTGTCCATGGGCAAAGGCGGGTCATAACCGAACAGTAGGTAAAAAGGGGAAAATCCAGCTGTATCATGACGTGAACTATTGTATGCGAAGGTAACGAAAGGTAAGTGAATGTCCCAATCTTTGTGATCCTTGGAGACGTACATCGCTAACATATTCGTCAAGGTACGGTTGAGGCGTTCCGTGAGGCCGTTGGTTTGCGGATGGTACGCTGTAGTGAACTTGTGGTGGGTAGAGCAGGATCGCAGGAGCTCGTCGACTACTTTAGATAGAAAACAGCTGCCGCGGTCGGTGATCAACTGACGAGGGGCACCATGACGCAGAATGATGTCATGAAGAAGGAAATCGGCTACATCAGTAGCGCAGCTGGTGGGGAGGGCGCGTGTAACGGCATACCGCGTTGCGTAGTCGGTAGCAATAGCAATCCACTTATTACCGGTGGCCTACACGGGAAAGGGTCCTAGAAGATCGAGGCCGACTCAGTAAAATGGCTCTTCTGGTACTTCAATGGCCTGGAGGGTACCAGCAGGTCTCAGAGCAGGTGTCTTGCGGCGCTGGCAGAGGTCGCATTCCGCAACGTACTGTCGCACAGAACGGTAGAGGCCAGGCCGAAAGAATCGGCGGCGAATGCGGTCATACGTGCGTGACACCCCTAAGTGTCCAGCGGAGGGGGCATCATGCAGCTGGGCCAAAACGTCTGAGCGAAGATGCACAGGAACAACGAGTAAAAGCTCAGCACCATCAGGGCGGGTGTTGTAGCGGTGCAAGATGTCGTTGTGAAGAACGAACAGTTGTAAGGAGTGGTCAGGGTGGTGAGAGCGCAGACCATTGATAATAGCACGCAAAGAGGGGTCGCGGCGTTGTTCAGCAGCTATGTCGGTGAAGTCGGTAATTGAAAGAACGAGGGCCTCTTGCTCATCTTCCCTCGTGTCAGGAGGATCGACTGGGTAACGGGACAAGCAGTCGGCATCCTTGTGAAGTTGTCCGGATTTATAGGATACAGAAAAAGTGTACTCTTGTAAGCGCAGCGCCCAGCGACCAAGGCGTCCCGTAGGGTCCTTGAGTGAAGAGAGCCAGCAAAGCTCATGGTGGTCGGTAATAACTGAGAATGGTCGGCCATACAGGTACGGTCGGAATTTCGCAATGGCCCAGACGAGAGCTAAGCACTCGCGTTCTGTGATGGAATAATTTTGTTCCGAGTGCGACAACAGTCGGCTTGCATACGCAACGACGCGGTGCATGCCTTGTTGCCGCTGCGCGAGCACTGCGCCTATGCCGTGGCCACTGGCGTCACTACGAAGCTCCGTGGCGGCAGATCGGTCGAAGTGTGCTAGGACTGGTGGATTGGTGAGAATGTCAACGAGCGACGAGAAGGCGTTTGCTTGCTGTTGGCCCCAGGTGAATGCGACATCCGTTTTGAGGAGGCAGGTTAGAGGACGGGCTACTTCAGCAAACTTCTCGACAAAACGACGGAAATAGGAGCACAGCCCCAGAAAACTTCGGACGTCCTTGGCTGAGCGGGGTGTGGGGAAGTCGCGAACTGCTCGGACTTTCACAGGGTCTGGTTGAACGCCCGCAGAGTTAACAAGATGGCCGAGTACGCAGATTTGGCGTTTCCCAAAGCGGCATTTGGACGAGTTAAGTTGCAAGTTGGCACGTCGAAAAACATCAAGCACTGCGGACAGACGGGTAAGATGGTCGTCGAAAGTAGTCGAAAAAACAATAACGTCGTCAAGATAGCAGAGGCAGATGGTCCACTTCATGCCTCGAAGGAGAGAGTTCATCATGCGCTCAAATGTCGCGGGGGCATTGCATAATCCAAAAGGCATCATCTTGAACTGATAAAGTCCATCAGGAGTCACGAAGGCCGTTTTCTTTCTGTCTTTGTCGTCCACAGCGATCTGCGAGTAGCCTGAGCGAAGGTTTATTGAAGAGAAATATTTGGCACCGTGCAAGCAATTGAGTGCATCATCTATGCGCGGTAGGGGATAGACATCTTTCTTGGTAATATGGTTGAGATGGCGGTAATCAACACAGAATCTCCAGCTATTGTCCTTCTTTTTAACAAGTACAACGGGTGAGGACCAGGGACTAGATGAGGTTTCGATTATGCCCTTATCAATCATTTTATCGACTTCTCGCGGTATAATAGCACGCTCCGGGGCTGACACACGGTAGGGTCGTCGGCGAATGGGTCGAGCGTCACCAGTGTCGATGCAATGGGTTACCACAGATGTCTGGCCCAAATTACCGTCACCGAAGTTAAAGATGTCCTGATAAGAAGCAAGCACACGGCAGAAAGCAGAGACTTGTTCAGAGGTAAGCGTGTCAGATAGCATTGGCTTGAAAAGGTCGGAACAGGAACGTGACGAGAACGACGTTGATGTAAAATCGGGTGGCGATTCGTTGGTTAGAGCAGAAACTGTGTGGTCCAACAGTGGTGTAAGATGCGCAAGTGACATGCCGCGAGGAATAACTTGTGCTGGAAGGCCGAAATTGAGGACGGCAAACGAAGTTCGGTTGTCCTTAACGGTAACCACCGTGTTGGGGAGTTCAACGTTGCGTGTCATGGCGACGTCAGAAATTGGGGCAGCAACATAATCACCTTCGGGTACTGCAGGATATGGCGAGAGTTGGACTCTGACTGCGGCTTGCGGCGGAAGTCTAAGGAAATCGACAGAGCGTAGACGAGGTGGGCTGGTAGAGACGGTCTCTGAAAAGGATGGTAGTTCGAGCCGAAGAAGACCTTTGGAACAGTCAATGAGCGCAGCGTGTGAAGTCAGAAAGTCGAGTCCAAAGATGAGGTCATGAGGGCAATTTTCCAGTACAGCGAACAGAACTGAAGTTTGATGCTCAGAAATTGTTAATCGCGCAGTGCGCATTCCAAGCACAGCAGGAGTACTCCCATCCGCTGTACGAACGGTAGGTGCAATCGCAGGCGTCAGAAATTTTTGGAGGCGGCGGCGGAGGTCTGAGCTCATCACAAATATTTGTGCACCGGTATCAATAAGAGCAGTTATAGGTAAACCATCAACGAGAATTGTAAGGAGGTTGCACCGCTGGTCGGGAGTAATCAGAGGATTTGCAGTCCGAGTCGTGTATGCGGCGTCACCTCCGGGGGCTGCACCAGCTAGTTTTCCGAGCGACGGTCGTAGGGAGACCGAGAACGGCGGGGTTGGGGCGAGCGTGACTGACGACGCACGGGCGATGGCGAGTGGTTGGTCCGACGTTCTGGATTATGCTCTGCACCTGTCTCAGCACGGTAGGAAGGGGCATAAGGTGCACGTTCAGAGTGAGGCCGCCAGTCATAGAAGCTCGGTCGAGGTGATAAGGTCCAACGACTGCGGCAATGGCGAGCGATGTGTCCTATCCGATGGCACGTGAAACATATGGGCCGATCATCATGAGTGCGCCATTCAGCTGGGTTTCGACGTGGCGCGAACGTGCGGTTCGGAGTGGCAGCCGCAACGACTGGAGCCGAGCTGGAAGTAGCAGGGGCATTTTGATGAGGTGGCGAAATGCCCATATTCGCGATTTTTTGGCGAACCACGGCCTGTATCATTGAAACAGCATCGAGGTTGTGTCCTGGCGCGCTGACGCTAGACATAGCGGGAGCCATAGCCTCGAGTTCCCGACGGACTATTCTGGTGACGTTTTCTGGCGCTGGTGGTTGGTGTAGTGTGGGCAAATCTTCGCAAGAGGACGTAGCCGCCGTGTTGGGAAGGCGGTCAAATCGGTGAACTATGCGCCTACTTTTTGCCTGTTCGAGGCGACGACATGCTTCGATGACCGACTCCACCGTCGAACAGTCCTTGAACAGGAGAAAATTGAAGGCGTCATCCGCAATTCCTTTCAGGATGTGTCCGACTTTGTCCTCGTCGAGCATGTCCTTGTCGACCTTGCGGCACAAAGCCAACACGTCCTGGATGTACGCAATGTACGGCTCTGTAGATGTCTGGGCACGAGTCGCAAGCTCTTTCTTTGCGGCCACTTGACGTCCGATGGGTTTCCCAAATAGATAGCGCAATTTCTGCTTACAGACGTCCCAGCTAGTCAACTCTTCTTGATGTGTCTCGTACCAGAGTTTTGCCGTGCCATGCAAGTAGAAGATGATGTTCGCCAACATAAGCGTCGACCCCAATGGTTGCTGCTGCTGACGCGCTCATATTGAACCAGCCAGTCATCGAAGTCTATGCCACTTGTGCCGTTGAATGGACCTGGGTCACGAGGTTGCACCACAACGATCGGCTGCGGGGCTGACGGATCTTGTTGACATTGAGTAGCCTGGTCAGTCATCGTGGTAGCTGCGATGCGCCGTCCGCTGCGAAGATCGAGCTCGTTGGGCTGTGTAGCGAGTGGTACCCCGCACCTTCCACCAATGATGTTACGGGGAATAAGTATACACTGGTGAGCAAATTCGTACTGGCGAATATACTGGCAAGCTAATGCGTACGACGCTGCTGCAGTCCGAGCACGTTCCCGTTCAGCACTTCGTCGTCGTCATCCTCAGGCATCTACTTAGCCCGTGACAATATATATTCTTTACGAGAGACGTTGTCTTTGGACTCGACCAATGTGGTAGGGGGAGTGGCGCACTGTGATGGACGTTCACGACCACCTATACCGTGCGCACGCCCGTGTTTAGTTCAAAGGTGCTCGAAAACGCGGATGTCAACTAAAACAAAGTGAAACGTAAAAGCAAAGCGTTGATAATCATCAGACCAGGTGTCAAACAAAAGCACGTACCCTACGCACACGCTGCGTTTATATTGTCGGGGAAAAAAATGGGGTGACAATCATCAACTCTTTGCCATGCGTGAAACATGAATATCCCTCGCCATTCAACGCGGCGCACTCACGGGTGATCCGAAATTGTGTCCCATCTCGTGGCAGAAGGCGGTTTCGCTCACTACGCGGGCCACGTGGTCGCCGTAGTTGAGGAACGTGATGATGCCCGTGTTGAGACTGAGCTTGGACAGCCCGAACTTTGTACCCGACTTGTCCCTCGGCACCAGTCGGTTCTTGTCGCACACACCCATGGTGCTGGCTGTGGAAGAGAGTGCACTAACTTCGCAGTTGAGGTCATCACGTACCGCAGCTGCATAACACGACTTTCGCATTTCATACACTACTTAGTTAGTATACCTTTAACGCTACGACAGATTGTGGGGAAAAAAGGAACCTCTGTGAAGACAGCGAGGTCCAATTTTCTCAATACTGATCAATGATATCGTTCCAGCTGTATTCTCAAGTGCATGAGAATGCGTACACAGTTAACTCTGTGACACGTACATGATATAAACGCGTCGTCTATGTCTTGTTCTGCTAAGTTCAGTCTATGCATGCCTCTTAACTAGTGCCCCAGTATAGTCTGCAGTACAGCAAATATTGCGATTCGCACAAACAAGCAAGTAACGCACTGTCCCCTTCTGGTTGTTGGCATTGACGTAGCATAAAATGTCATTGAAAGAAGCTTGCTCATCATGCATCCGTTTCGCTGTATTTATTATTACGTGCAGCGCATGTTCCACTCTCCGCTGTCCCTGTAAAGGTTCGAGATGCCAGAGTCTGCAGGTGAGAGGAAGTAGCAAGCTTTGAAAACTACAAATTTAATGGTGTTGCGTGAGTTTCACTGCTCCATCGGTGTATTTGGGGCCTGGAAATAAATAGATTGTAAAGGTCAGGTGACCACTCTCTAATTCTTTTTATTAGTGCCTCCAGAGAGATATACTAATAATGGAAGGGATTATTTCAGCTATAGTACGAGCAGCCGACGTTTCTCACAGTGGTTACATACATGTGTTGCTTCTCGATATACTCTGAGTAAATTCTGTCCTTACGCTTCTAATTTTCTAACTCAATAAATGCTATACACAATGATCAAAATTTTCCTCAAGTAGCATGCTTTTTTATTATTACTTGAAACGTCATTACTTTGTTACTGTTGGTTTGCACATATGCATATACACGTCGGTAGAACTCGTTGTTGGTCTAGCGTGTGATACCAACGCTAATGAAAAGAAGCGTTAGTGATCCCTCCATTAGTGTACACAGTGGAGAGAAATCGTTCTTTGGCTGCGCACGTGTAATCACGAATTTCAATTTTGCCTCATACACATTGTTTCTTGTTTTCTGCAATTTATTTAGTGATTCCGCCTATGATTAAACGGTACGTGTTTGCACGAATCCGCGGACTCTTCCTTGTGAGCGTTCTTTTCTGTATTCGTTGTTGTTTCACAATATATGTCTTTCAGGTGTATAGCTTTGCGCTCTGTTTTCGATAATAATGAACATGAAACTAAACCGTAGTTTTTCCTCAATGTTTACACCCTTAGATTCACTTCAAGGAGCACTGCAGAGAAAGACAGGATTTTTCTACAATTGGTGAAATACTCCCTCACGATACCGAAAACTCCACGCTGGACGCGGGAAAAAAGAAAAAGCGGGTAACGACGCAATCTTCATGTTTCCGCGCCAGTTACCCTGACGTTATAAATTTTCACGTTGTGTATAATAGGGCATACGTAGTTCCTTATCAGTAAACATTAAGTACATTGATCTCGGAGAGAGCCACCGCCTCCTCTATACTATACAGGCACCGGCTTAACATACAAAGTTTCGGGAAGCTTCTTAGTCAGTGTGGCCAAAGCGTGAAGAAACACTTCAAAACTCTTGGCGTCACCATCGGAGATCTCGGCAAAAGTTTAACAGTGATACTTTCAATAGTAATTTTCTCATCTGTTAATAAGCCTATGGTAGTGACTTCAACGACACTAGAGTATAATTTATCAGTCGTAACTAGTAATTGTTTTACTTTCCTGTCCCTTTAAACACAATTCCTTTCGTTGTAATGGCGCGGAAGGACCAGGACTGACCGGTCGCATTGGCCACGTAGGCCAGACCGAGGACGCCATTGGCGAAGTCTCGATAGGTCCACGTGAACGCCAGGCAGTAGTCGTCGTAGTTGGCGGTCCGCGCTGTGGTGAGCAGCAGCAGGGCCGCGTCCATGTTCTCCTGACAGAAATCGGTGGCCTTGTTCGCACAGCTATCGTTGATCTGCGGCAGTCATGGCGGCCATTTTAGTGGAGTTAACCAGTAACCGCATACCCATGAATATTTACCGATGGGACAAAGGAATAAGCTTGCAGACTTGCTGAGGAGGTGGCAAATCTCTGTTTGGCTAGTTGATGCTTTTGTTGTTTTTGGTATGTTCGCATAACATGGTAATTCACTCGTATGCCACAACATTAATTATTGATAGCGGGGCTATAGAGAAGGACGCAGAAAGAAAATGAACAAGGACATTCTTTCTACGTCCTTGTCAAGTCACATGAAGTCACTATCAGAAAAAGAAATTTTCTCATTTGTTCATTTTTTCAGTTCTTTTTTTTTGTTAACATTTGTCTCTGTTCCATGCATTGTCAGTTGAACTAGTGCGTAAGCCATAGGGTGCCCCTCTTTTTTCGCTTGTGCAGCCTGAATATGACTTTGTTGAGATCTAATCATGCGACCGAGATCTAATCATACGACAGTGCATGTTCTACCAATGCAATGCACTGAAACGGTTCATTGAATTAAAAGTGCGCTGCGGCGTTATAAGACTATATTTATAACATGAAAGCATTCTTTTGAGTGATATCGTCTTACGCAGCCGCTTCTTTGAGAGAAAAGCCCTGCAACACTTTTTCAGCATGATCGGGAAAAGCTGTCGATCTAGTCTATATAGGTAGGTATAGGTATAGGAAAAACGTGAGCCAAACAATATAGCGCAGCACGCAGCCTGAAATTTACCATTTTCATCAATGTAAGCTAGAAATCACTTCCTTTTCTCTCAACAAACGATGCTTCAAACTCGAAGTCTACGGCCATAGGCTGCTTTAAGCATCTTGCGCTTTAAGCAACAGCGCGACCACCGAGGTATGTCTGCACGTGACTCGGCAGTGGTATCGAAGTAAAAAAATAAAAAATGTGAAAGTGATTAAGATCACGACGCGCGCTAACGAACGAGCGTAGTTCTGGCCATGTGTCATCCCCCCCCTCCCCTGCGTATATCTTTCAGCGATCTTGCTATCACGTTGAGAAAAGGCACTTCAAGCGTGCGGCAAATCCCTGTAGACCCTCTCGTCTTGACCGATTTCGATTTTTTTTTTGCCGCTCTCAATTCGTGAGACAATAAGTTCTTTTAATGCACGCATTTGATGATTAATTGGAAAAGTCTGGCCGGGCCCCTTCAAGGTGGTACATAGACGCATACAGAGGGCGCGGTACCTGGACTTTGTGCACGACGAAACTGATGTCGTGAATGCCGTGGAAGTCCGTGCGTCGGTATACCTCAGAAGCGCGAGCCACGTGACCCGCGATCAGCGTGGAGATGCGCTCGCGCGTGCGCACATCGTCGCCGTCCAGTTCCAGGTACTTCTTGTACAGCAGATGGTCGATGGCGATGTGCAGGCCGCAGACTCGCAATGTCGGCGCGCTGTCCTTCACAAGGCTGGCCACGCTGCCAACGTTTTCCGTGTCGGGGTGCGACTCCTCAGATTCGTGTTCTTCTAAAAGTTTCCTATTCGTCCAATGCTCACTCCTGGAGCTGCGCTGCTTTTCCTGGATGTCAACGTGGGAAAGACATCATGCGATCGACAGCGCTTCCGAAAATTGGAGGACATTTCGTATTCAAAGCGTATTAGGCGAAAGCATATGGCCATTCAACTGAATATGCGGTATTTTTTTACTCTCTCTCAGCAATCATGTGATGGCATAGCGGCACATAGCAATAGTTGCACCACTACAGCTGTGGCCTCTACCCCTTACACTCTCTCATATATAAGGAGTATAGAGGTCACAGATGTTGCTATGCGCCGCTGTGTCATCACGTTATTGCTTAAAGAGTGTGAAAGGGAGAGGCTAAAGCTGGCTCCGTTCCAGGGCCCAAACGGTCGGACGCGAGTATGAGATATGAAAGGCTTCCGCCTTAATACGTTACGTTGGCACAAAAATCCACAATCTCATTCGAATATATAGCATATGCTTGTGACGCTATGATGAATGGGCGACGTGGCCTGGCTCATACCCCATGTTTATTCCTTTCTGCACTTCTTCCTTCTCTGCCTCTACGTAACCATCGCTACCTTCTTACGTTACAGGATTCCCCCTCCCCCCGAAAGAAGTCGCGTCAGATGAACATAAATGAAAACTGAACATGCACGGGTTAGAACTGAGCACTGTCAAAAAGAGAAGATCATTCCAAGTCCGAGGAATTTCCGTTAACACACTATAGCTTCACAGAAGAGGACAGCAATCCGGGGTATCAAGTACAGCTCTGGAGGGCGAGGCTGGCTGTTGCGCTCTGGACAACATAAGCATGCTTTGAGCGTGAAATCAGATGGAAACACTGCCGGTATTCTTTCGATGAATGAACGTGGTGTGATGCCTAGCATTGGCTGGATGATTTGCGCAGGTGTCGTGCTATTTGTCTTGATTGGAACCCATGCGTCGCCACCCGTTCGCGTGCTTGTTGACCGAGGCTGGTGCGGTGATTTCTGCATCCTTGCGGAATACAGGGTATGGTTTGGCGCCTTTCTCGACGTTGTATGTCGTGTTGCCTGAGTCTTGATCTGGACTGGAGAAAGCTTACTCGACGTCCTTTGGAAAAATATCCTGGATTTGATGCTTTCTTTGTTTCGAGCGAGAAATCTTGAATATGTCGTCGGTTTGGTTGACACGTTTGTAAACGGCTTTCCATAAACCGCGTGTGTTCTTCCGAAGATGATTCCATTCGTCGTCGTCCTTGTTCGTATAGCCCTTGGAATCTCTGTTGTTCTTGGACTTGCTGGCATTGATGATGTTGCTGCGAAAAGACCTGAGGTGGCAGCCTTTTTTCGTCATGACACTGACTTTCTGGGCAATTGAATGTGGTGTCGAGTGGGCAGGTAGTATAGTCTCGAGGCTGTTGTGCTGCATTTCGGGTAGTGAAGGTAATGCATCAGAGTTGACAGATACATCATTAGGGGCTTCTTCGCTGTTCGCTGCAAATGGTTCTTGCTCCTGAATCTGGATGGTAGGTTCAGGGCTTGGCTGAGTACTCTCCGAGCTCCGCAGCTCTATCCCGACCATTGTGAGCGTGCTAGATGTGAGGTGGGCGTTGTGAGCGACGAAAGAGCCAAGTGGCGGAAAACCAAGAGGTAGCCCAATTGTGCTAGATGGAAAATAAGCTGATCCAATGTGTGAAGACTGATTTTCACTCTTTGAGTCGTCATGGCGTTGTTCGGCATTTTCCTCATGTGTCAGCTGGTCTACCATGAACAAGGCGTCCTTATGACACGAATAGTGACCGTTAGGAGCCTTTGAAAAGCTGCGTCGTAGAAAATCAGGTGGTGGACCATGTATGCGAGACGACGCATGAAAGGCATCAGTAGGGTGAGTGACGTCTCGTGTCGTATGTTGAAGCGATGACTTCGGAAATGCTCACTTTCGTGCAGAAGGGAGGCGCGCTCGATGGCTGTGTTTTTCCCTAAAATACGCGTTGTCATCTGCCACTGAACTCGTGTGCCGCTTCGTCTTTTGTCAGAGGTCGAATCTTGTTGTGCGTTCGAATGGTTGAAAACTGCCTGTAAAATTGACGACTGAGTGCAGTTGTCTGTGGATGGTGGGTTACAAGCATGTCTTCGTCGTAGTCGTCATCGTATTTTTTAAACCAAACGATCGTTTCTTTTTTTATTTTTTGCCAAGACTCATCGTTGTCGAATATGTGGGTGAGGTAAAATTTAAATGCCTCACCGGTGACGTAGTCGCTGAAGTTCGTAACCATTTCCCGTTCCGACCAAGATGCAGCGGTAGCGTGGAACTCGAACAGGTCGAACCAGTCCTGTACGGGTCCATCGTCCGCTGCTCCGGTGTACTTGGGGATGGGAAGGTCGGTCGATGATTCTGTCATGGTGCTGGTCGCTGTGTGTGGCTAGGAGATGATTCCGTAGTCGATGTATGGTCAGGGCGTCTTGTGTAGAACTGCGTCGATGATGAGACACTGATGAAACGGCTGGGAGGTCTTCATCCTGTCGACTCGTGTGACGCTATGATCAATGGGCGACGTGGCCTGGCTCATACCCCATGTTTTATTTATTTCTGCACTTCTTCCTTCTCTGCCGCTACCTAACCATTGCTACCTTCTTACGTTACATGCTTCTTGTTTGCTATTTATCACCACACATCTTTCCATCCTTGTATCCCCTTTGTTTGTTGGTTTGTTTGTTTGTTTGTTTGTTTGTTTGTTTGTTTGTTTGTTTTTCAGCTTGCCCTCAAATATTGTACTTCATGAATAACAGATCTCGAGTTATTCGCCTGATCATTGAAGGCGAAAGCGTCGCGCACTTCACAAGGATACGGACGGGAGCGAAGGTGTGTTCAAGGACCAAAACGTGGCTGCCGATTAGAGCCTCAGTAGGGTCAGCTACACCAACCATCCCGGAAAGGCGCTGGTCGTGGGTTCGATTCCGGGGCCAGGACGAATTTATCTTGAATCATTCAGTGGCTTTCCTTTCGGAGAATTCCGAATGGATTTCCACGCGGATTCACAAACGGGCGGTTGTCATTCATCCCTTTCATAACCCTTCCGCCACCTAGCGAGTTTCTGCAATATTAATTTCTAATATCCTCGTTTAGCTTGTGAAATTTCACATAGAATGCACGTCTAGAACTAGCAGATGTGCACTAGCATGGCAGCAGGTAATTACATACACTCTAACTCACATTGGTGCAAAATGTATTTGAAGTCTAATGCAGCAGTAACCAGCGCAAGAATTCTTAAAACACAGTTGTCACACAGCCACTGCTATAGCTGATAATGTAAGCGAAGTCCGTGACATCACCGCATCGGGGGAAAGGCGCGCTCGCACTCGTTTCCAATCTGGCCGTGATACAGCATCCTGAAGTATTGGTTGTGGCAATTTCCATTGTTACCATGACTTCAATGGTTACCGTGGATACAAGTTGAAAAGTCCGCAGATCATCTCTGACTAAACAAAAAAGATTGTCTCACTGGTGCACTCGGCAATGTTCTCTGATGGTGAAATCAGTGGCCGCCTGGCTCGTGACGTCAGTCTGGAGAACGCACTTCATTAGTGCAGGCTTGTGTGCATCCGCTCTTAAGCAGGAAACACCACGTACGTCTAAAGTTGTAACCGATTATAGTTAATCTTCTTATGTAACAGATCTGCTGCGATGCCAAGAGTTGTTGACGTAACTGTCGGCAACTGGCAAGTTGTCAGCAGACTTTCTAAAGTTGTAAACTGCCATAGTTGCTCCTAACGGGGCCACTAGGAAGGAAGCTGTTTCCATGGCTGATTTCTGGAGGACTCGAGAAGCATCGACACTGATTAGCTGAATGAATAAAATCTGATCTGAATGCCTATACCGAAATGTAGGGCTTTTGTTCCACTATTTTGTTTCAACAGATGATGACCGCATGGGTCGCTTCATGAAAAGATAGAGACATCATGGACATATTCAGTGGACGAATACACTCCTGCGCTGTCCGGGCCAATAGCGAACGGTAATTTATCTCAGGCGTAACCGCTTACAGTTCTCCCATAATTGAGTACGAAGTACTCGAAACCGTTAAACATTTTTTACTAAACAAGCAAATTACGTAGCTTTTCTTCGTTCAGGCGTGTCAGGACGGCTTTATGCCCTCCCATAGTAGAGTACCAAGTACTTTAAATTGTAAAACATTTCTCCTAAACTCAAAAATCAATGCGCGAATGAATAACGGTGTTTCATAGTACATACATCTTGTACCCTTGATGACGGCCTTTCGGCTAGCTTGGTAGAAGCCGCAAGCTCCTGCATCCAGCGCGTGGTCTCGCTGTTGACGCCGCACCATCCTGCGTCGGGTATTCTGGCGTCTTTGGCGGCGTACATCACGGAGTGGAAGGGCGTGCGCCGTGCGAAGAACTTGTGCGCCCCTTCGACGTAGAAGCGACCCCAGCGGGACTGGATGGAACCTTCGAAGACGCCGTCGTGCAGGCCACCGTATACCCGACTGGAGGGATCGCCTGCAAATCCAAGGAGAGAACTGAAGGCGCGTCACGTATTCTCCGTAGCTTCCGTTGTAAGTCTAAAGATTGCATGCAATACACAAAGAAACCAACATGATTACACGTTTTGCACGTTCTATTGTAGTTTCAGGTGTACACTACGGTAATAATGAGCCACATGCTCAGGCAAAGCTGTCGGGAAAAAATTTCGAACTAAGTGAATCTATATGTTGTGGTGTTGACCCCTTCGCATTATGTGAATTCTTTCCTGAAGGTGAAGTTTATTAAATGCGAATTCTTGTTTTGCTAACCAAGCGCGTCGATTCCTTATTGTAGTAACCTGCGGTTTGCATTCTTAATCAACAGTTTTTTTTTGTTCTTTTACTGTGCCCTGTTTATTGGTTTCCTTCATCGTATTCATGTAAGCCCCCAAGTTTTTTGCTTTTTTTAATTATGTTGTGTTAAAAAGCTAACCCACTCTCCTCTATGATGCCTTGGGGCCAGAGGGTACTGAAATAAATAAATAAGTAAATAAATAAATTAATAAATAAATAAATAAAACATAAAAAGTAAATAAATAAATAAACGCACTTGGGCTGTTTCTGGCTATATAACCGCCTACATCTTGATGCTCTCGTACAGTCACCCCCTTGTGGTATAGCCTATATACCGTAATTGGCATGGGAGGGACGTGTGTGAAGGTGAACTGCTGTCAGCCTTCACCCCCTTATACTGGGGAACCTTGTGCAAACCTGTATGCATATCAATTTTTCTTTACAATTGAAATAATAGCAAAATGCATGAAGGCATTTTTCAAGGTTAGCTTACGACCACAATATTGAAATAAAAAAAAATTGTATCTTAGATGTTGTAATCTAAGTCAACGGAATAAAAAAAAGAGAAAGTGTGCGTTTAGCTTGCGTACTTGTCAGCCGCATGACAACCAGTGAAACGGTACTTGCGAGAGACGAACGGACGTCGATAATAAAGACCGCGGTTGAGTTTTTATACCAATCAGTTCGCCGCTGTAGATGTGACCTATGTCCGGCTTCACTCGACCGCGGCTCGCAGTCTCGACCTCGAGGTCCTTGTGAAAGGCGGACGCATCTGGCCTCAGCTTCAGATGAAACAACCTGCGAAATCAAGATATTTCTTTACAAAACAACGCTTCCCCGTTAAACATTGCTGAACCGAGCCCAGCGATCAAGATGTCCCACAAAACACGCATCGAATCTTCACGTCGAAGGCGAGTCTGTTATGAGGGCAAAGGCTTAAAAGCGAGAAATGACCCTGGTCGGTGGAGCCCCGCCGCGGTGGTGTATAGTGGCTAAGGTACTCGTCCGCTGACCCGCAGGTCGCGGGATCGAATCACGGCTACGGCAGGCTACATTTTCTATTACGGCGAAAATTTTGTACGTTCGTGTGCCCAGATATTGGTGCACGTTAAGAACCCCAGGTGATCAAAATTTCCGGATCTCTCCACTACGACGTCTCTCATAATTATGTGGTGGTTTTGGGACGTTAAACCCCACATATAAATCAATAAACCATAGGACGGAGGCGCCGACACCAGTGGATGCAAAATGTCTTCGCGTGATGGCATCACACTATGACGTCGTCATAATGTCACACGTACCGACATTTGTGACCTCATCGTGACATCGTCGTGCCGTCCCTGTGTCGTTACATACATGGTCACTTGTTTAAACATGGGCTGATAACGGAGGCAACTGCAAAACCACGCGAGATGGATAAGCTTCCAATCGCTCCGTGGGGAAAGCTTTCAGGCGGGACAACAGTCGACTCAGATGAAAAATAAGAAAATGGCTATCGGTAAACAGGAAGGTGGGCCACAGCGGCGTAGTTCATTGTTTCTGACTGTGGTGGCGACAGTCGACCAACTCCTACAGTGACTACTGAATCTCATCGCGGCGATATCGGAAATAGAAGCCAATACTGAGGTTTCGGCGAATGGAATAACTTCACCTCCTCCAAGGCGACTGTCTAGATTGTCTCGCACGGCTGGCTAGTGTCTTGTGCTTAAGTAGCTTTCTAGTGTTGTGGAACTATACACTCAAAGCTGTTAGGAAACACTTAGCGTAACACTTCAAGAATGCAGTGGCGATGTCTTCAAAGCTGAGCGTCAAAACATGCAGGCAACGTCAAAGTTATAAGTTGCTGATCGAGCTCAAACAAAATGAACACAGATTTTATAGGAGATGACTTAGCTGGCTGCTCCTGATAAATAGTTGCTCAGCATTATTCGGCTTAAGAGCGTATTTATCCGAAGGTCACACGTTCTGTCACTGCCAGTGGGAAGTTGCATTTCCATCACTTCACTTTCTTCAAATGTGCATGCCAATTACTACAATACATTTAGATCAGTACAATTAACGTGCCATACACCTTCCTTGACTTCATGGTCCGCTGGTTTTTGTTAATTTTCGGTAAAAACAAAGATTCAAGCCCTCCAAATTGCCTTCCTTCATTTGTTTATCAGTAGATTGTGTTCGAAAGAAGAATACGCTTCCTGGAATCAACCCGTGACATTTTTTCTAAGGATTATCGACACAGCCTCTTCTTCACATTCATGGCATGTAAAAACAAAATGTGGCTGATCCTCCTGTATATAAATCGGTATAACACGAAAGTTAAACGTGTATTTACAGAACATTTATTGTGCACTGTTTCAGCACCAGAAACAAATTTCAAAGCGTATTTTTAACGAAATATACTTTTGAACGTCACTTCCGTGGCGGAAGTACGTCCGCGGAGTCATGGGGCACCCCGGCATAAAACGTTTTCGTGTTAAAGAACAGCTAAACAATCAAAATAATGGTTTTTGTCTTGAAGCTCTAGTGACGGCCTTTATACGCACCAGCTTCAAATGAATCCGCGCTCACTTGTGCAAAAAATACGTAGAAATTAACGCCTTTCTTCGAAACACTCGTCAATGATGCAAGTATTTTCACCTAGTGCTCTCAGACAGTATTGCACTTGCCTCGCCACGGTGGTTTGGTGGCTAAGGTACTCGGCTGCTGACCCGCAGGTCGCGGGTTCAAATCCCGGCCGCGGCGGCTGCATTTCCGATGGAGGCGAAAATGTCGTAGGCCCGTGTGCTCAGATTTGGGTGCACGTTAAAGAACCCCAGGTGGTCGAAATTTCCTATGGCCTCCACTACGGCCTCTCTCGTAATCATATGGTGGTTTTGAGACGTTCAACCTCAACAATTTTAATTAGACTGCATTGCACCGTAATTGACGCTTTCTTCCCGAGCGTTTTGTACAACCGACAAAAAATTACACATCATCATTGATTGGCATGTGCAGCCAGTAATGAATATACCATACTGACATAAATGCAATGTTGCAACTCCTTCAGCATCAGAACTGAACATCGCGGCCAAGTTTTTTTTTCATTTACTATTTGGCTTTTCCCACCATAACTATTTATTTTACAGTGCTTCTCGATGCAATCTAAAATTTGTTATATAGCGCAGGCTCGGCAACCTTAATAGGCGAAAGGCCAAGTTGCAGGGAGTTGGCACAGCGGTTCGCTTCACAGCAAATTGAGGAGGGTCGGAGGCTTTTCAAACGAACAGAAAATTTAGACGAATGTACATTAACAAACAACACTGGATTATTTCATGTTTATTTTCATAAAGCATACGTTCCAATCAAACATGGGTTACAAGCGAAAACATCATTTTAGGTCAAAAGTGCTATGTCGGTTTTTAAAAGAAGTTACGGTCCTTAGCTGTAGCATGCAACTCCTTCCCCGCTGTTTTCGCGCTGATGTATAACATACACCAACTGGCCCTTCAAGGTACCCTTGAATATACCGTTTACTGACCCCCGTATTCTAGAACGTCCCTCCACTCAACGCTTCACCTTCACTTGAGAAGGCTGATGGGAGCGCCGTCTCTAGGCAGGGAAAGTCACTGCATATCAGCGATAATCTGCGGCGATTCTTGAGTAGCGTAGCGGCACTTTCAGCCGCGCAGCGGCGCAGTGCTCAACTCTCTCAAGTGAAGGGTGAAAGTCGAGTCGACGGGCGTTTGTGAATACGGGGGTGAGGGTCTTCGCGTTTCGTTGTATCTCCTTGCCTGTCGAATCCTTGGAAGCGGAAGTAAACGATGCCGTGCTGCGAGCTGCTGCCACCCAGGGATCTCCTGACGCGAACGTGTTCCCTGTGCACCCGCCGTGGCTCGTACGACAGGGGCTCGAAGTGGCGCACGTAACGGTTCAGGCGACGCGCTGCAAATGCACACAAGTCCGCGCTTATCAACCTCACTTCGGTCTGATTCTTTTTTACAGCGAAAAATCACAACAAAAGTCACGTGCTCCACCGTGTGTCCGCCGCCGCTGGTGCCCGTAACCACTATTGCATGAAATGAGAAAAAACTTCGCGAATAAAAACACCAAGGACACAACATATTTCGAACCAGGGTCCCCTGCGTGCCTGCCTAGTATTCTACCACAGAGCCACGCCGTTGCAAACTTTCCTTAGGCAGGCTTGATGTCGGGAAAGGAATCGCGTTAGTATGAATAATAAAGCACTTTAGAACAGCAAAGGAACAACCAGGCGTCACACAATGCGAATTGCGTAAGGAGTTGGTCGTCCAATCATTACAAGCAAAAAAAAAGGAAAGGAACGAAAAAAGTGGAAGCATTTTCCTTTATATAATTCAACAATTCCACCCCCATTCCCCGTCTATGTTTTTTTTTTCGAAAAGTGTTATCGCTTTCGGAGCCTAAATTATATGGCTCTTAGGGTTTATGTGGCCCCCAAAGATAATGGTGTGTCATGTGTAGCACTGTCATGTATGAGCCTCGAAGAAAGGCATACTTCTTTCAGAGTTTCGTCAATCTGGAAGTACAAGGCAGCTTCGAAAGGGAGTCAAACGGCACACAAAGATAACCCCCGCATGTAGTTTTTTGAAAGCGCAGCATATATTTTTGCTTTAGATTACAGATTGAAACAGACTGATACCAATACTGTATTCCAGACAAACTCGCATGGTGCCTCATTCATACGCCTAAGACAACTCACTTGTACAAGCTATCTTATATATCTTTTCGGGCGATGTATTTATTGATCCGCATACATGTGACCGTGCAAGTGTCTTGCATTTTTTCTTCACTTTGTATGTTAGTTTTTTTTTACTTCTTTAATTTCCGGAAACCATCCTAATTTCTGTTTTACGTAACACACTCTTCAAACTACAATGCAACTGCATAGTTCTTCGACCTCCATCAGCTAAGGCAAGGCCTATATTGTCCTAAATTTTCAAATAAAAAATTAAAAAGGTTCTCCAGATGCATTAGACTAAGCTCCCGTCTCTGTCGTGCCTTAGCCGGGTATTACAGCCCCGCTCACAGTGGCTTCGTGAACTTTTGCTAAAGGTTGGATGCGCAAAATCAGAATACGTGACTCGGTATTTACCACCACAGAAAAAAAAATTCAATTTCTTAATGAAAGATACCACTGGAGTAGCTAAACGTCCGCGCGTCGACGTGACCAAAATTCAAGCAACGATTAAGCCATGTCGCGCTGTAATGCTAAATGGAGCAATTAAAGTCGACCTCAGCCTCATCGCACATCATCTTCATTCTCCACATCGCTGAATCGTTCTGTTCAAATATTTAGCTACACTTCGTTTATCTTTCTTTTTCTTGCTGTTATTCCGTTTCTCAATTGCGTTCTCCTTATCATTTTCATTAAAACATAGGTTTGACATGCAACTTCATAAAACACAGGCTATAATAATCATTTTGTGAGTTCTTGTTCCCGTACTTTTTATATACGCACAGTTACTAACCATGCGTAAAACAGTGATGTAACTGTCAAGCACCAAGTTAACATTCCTGTTCGTTTTTAACGTTGCCTTAATATCATGTAAATCATATAGATAAAGTACAATTGCATGCACCAATAATGTCCGCTGGAGAAATTATGCTTTCCTTAGATAACACCTGCACCGACCTCATTCCTATGGAACTTTACCAGACCAGCGTATTGCCTATATAAGCAGCAATAAGAACTTCTAATATCTGTATCTTTGAATTAAATGTAAAACTACTGTCGGTCACAAGAAACGAACCATGCGTGCTTTGTTTAGTAAAGCTCACAGTATATCAGAATGAGGCCGTGACAAACGATGGTTCCGACGTGAATGGCGCCGCACTTAAATGTCAGGGCTATATAAAAAAAACTAATCTTAGTTCTACAAAGTGCGAAATCTACAGAAACAGCTGAGCTACTATTTTCCAGCCTTTTCCTTTCGATTTTTTGTGATTCTCTTTGTTTTTTTTTTTGTGATTTTGTGTGGGTGCCTGTGATTAAAGTATTTGTAGAGTTGATATGCACGGAAAAAAACTGGAGCACCCTTAAGTGTCGCCTTTAGGAGTTGAACGCGATAGCGAAATCCGGCCCCTAGTGCACCCGTCAACCGCTAAGTGCATAGTTATTCATATGTTTTGTTACATACACACGCACGCACACAAACACGCACACAGTAGATTGGACCAGCGCGCTATTATCGCTGAATGGGCTAGTTTTCGTCGTGACACCTGTCAAACAAAATGCGTTAAAGGGAATTTGAAACACTTTTTCAAGTAAATATGGAATGAATTCATTAGAAGAGCTTATTGCCTCACAAATTCGACGCCACAAAAATTTTAATAATCCGTCCAGTACGAGTGCAGTTACAAAGGTTTGTCGCATGCTGCAATTGCCTTACCCTGCTCTCGTCCTGACGAAAGCACTGGCAGCTAAGCGGGAGGGGTGGTTGGTTGGTTGTGGTTGTTCCTCAAAGTTCTGGCGCAACCCCCCACCGGTGATTGGCCATGAAACGGACGGTGCCTCATTTGTGAGGTGGAGTTGTTTTACCAGCCGGATTATTTAGATAACGATGTTTAAAGAAAGAACCAATTGGTAAACGATAGATTTGAAATAAAATTAATAGGGGTATACAAAGAACGAACAAGCAAATGAGAATTGAAATAAAGTGAATTTATGCCTCAGCTTAACATTCTAATCGTTTTGTTGGCTTTAGAAAGTTGCATACGGCCTCGCAAACGTTCCTGTGGCTAAATCCCTTTTCAGTTGCTCCAAAGGAAAGGACCACCGGAAGGGATAAATTTAGAGCCAGCCTACGGGGAGGTTCTTCTAACAGTCTCTTCCTTGGTTTGTATATAACCTGCATGTTAAGAGGAAATGATAGAGGATTCACTCTCGTTGCAGTGCAGGCGTATATAGGGGAGACTGTGCTAGACCAGACCTGTGCAGATAAAAGTTCATGGAGGGGGGGGGGGGGGGGCTCGGCATCTTATAGTCTCGTAATTTATATCTCCGCTGTTCTAGAGGAGCACCATCGATTTTTTCAAGGGTACTTAAGATGGGAAAAATCCGATGTTGCCAAGCGATATTTTTCAAACTGATCTGACATGACAATTTTTTCAAAGCGTGTTACGGCGATAAATGCTAGCGTCGGCAATATATAAATTATAGGATAATTATGTGAGGCCACTGAGAGTGCATCTGCATATTCATTGAGAGTTAAACCTTTATGTCCTGCTATCCACGCCAAGTGAATGAGTCGTAAATGTCTTGGGGCAAGGTCGTAAAATACTTTTAAAGCATTGGACATATTAGGCGCAGTAATTAACTACACACAGACAAGCAGTTTGAAAGAATAATAGGATCTGTTATTGAATGAGGTAATTTTTGCAATGCTAAGAAATTTCCAGTAATTCCGTTGATAAATAGGTGTAAAATTGGGTAAACGAATCGAAAAAGACCAATCCAACACTGATGATGCAATTCCGACTCCTGCCTTCTCTTTGCGAACTGAAGCATCAGTAGCTATAACAATCTTTATGTCTAATCTTGCCAGGTGGTCGTTCAAAATGGCATTTAGATATCTACTGGGAAGAGCTTTGCAATTATTAAGAAAAATATTGTCAAATTCTATTTTGATTGTTTGAATAGGTGTTTTTAGTACCCGTACTTCACGAAGGTTAACTTGTAATGTTTTCAAGAGCTTCTGTACGGCGATGACATGTGGACACCTTAATCTATAAAACACTGTTGGTTAAAAAAGGACGTCGGCTCAATATTGAAAACATATTGCAACCTCCTATGTTGGGATGCGTATATTTTTGGGAAGGTGCGGACTGCTAGTATTTGGAACCTAGCACGAAGAGAAGGCAAGCGCGCTTTCCTATATAAAATATAAACTGCCACAAATTTAGGGAGCCCGAGACATATACGTAACGCTTCGCGTTCTAGTAGTACCAGTGGTCTAATTTTGTATGCGGGTGCTCCAAAAAACAAGACACAGCCAAACTCTAATATTGGGCGAATATACATACAATATATCATGACTAGCACATCATGACGTAAACCACAACGTTTATTGCTAAGTCTACGAAGCATCCCAAGCGTATGTGCTCCTTTAGCTGCCATATTTTCTATATGCGGACTCAAATTTAGGTTTTCAGTATAAGTCACTGCTAAGTATTTAATCGATTTCACCTGCGGGATAAAGTCCTGTTTTTAAAGTACGGAAATCTGCACTGAAACACTTATAGAAAAAACTACGACTGCGCTTTTCCTGGTGCTTAATGATATAGATTATTGTCGTCCTAACCATGTGTCCACAGCTTTATATAAAACTGTAGCATCTGATATAATATATGTATATCTGTAGCTGTAGCAAAAAATGCGATGTCGTCAGCGTATACATACACCTGTACATTATGTTGTACTGGAATTGTGCACAATAAAATATTAAATAATAATGGTGAAAGTACCGAACCTTGGGGGAGACCTCTAAGTTTATTTATACTTTGAAGACGACATGCCAGATTGAGCAATAGAATTCTCTATCTTTTAGAAAGGAATAAACCCATGCCACAAAGTAATTTGGTAACCGAATTATTAGTTTAATGTGTTCCACACTGTCATAAGCTTTTGTAATATCTAAAGTTACTAAGGCGGAAACCTGTTTCTTAGAACGAGCTAGTTGTATCCTGCTTTCCAGATCAACATGAGCCACACCAAATGGAGCAGCCATGCCGGAATCCAATTTGGCATGGGCTTAAAATTTCATTTTCGTCCAACCAGTTGTCTATCCTAATGTGTAGAAGTCTTTCGATTAGTTTTACCAGATTACATATGAGTGAGATAGGCCTAATGTTATTTCAAAGTAAACCCAGCTCCATGCTTCTTTAATAAAGTAATAATTTTCGTGATCCTCCACTCAGGCGGAATCCACGAATGTCTAATGGAGTGGTTAACTATTGCAAGCAAATCTTGAGGTGATCCTTTATAGATTATTTTTATTACCGATACAGTTCTACCATCGGGACCTGGAGCAGAATCAGGCAATATTTTCACTACTTGTGCTATTTCCGACGCTGTACCTCTTCAAAGTCATCGCTGTTAACAGGGCATGGTGAGTGGTAAAAGTTAGCAGCCGTGAAGCGGCTTCCCGGCCCTTGAGCAATATTTTCCAGAAAAGTATGCAACTGACTTGGCGTTGAAACAATCGATTCGAGGTTTGTTGATGGTAAGATTACTTTTTGGGCTTTAAGGAAGTTGAAAAGTGATTTCCTGTGGCCAGGCTTTGAAAGGAACTCGGAGCATTGGCTATCATAGTTATCCTTCGCAGCGGCAACTGTTCACTTAAAAATTGCAGCCACGTATTTGTAATCGCTCCAATTTCTAGGGCACTGATCATAGAGCAGTTCTCGCCACGCTGCTTTTCTTAGCCTGTAATGACGTGAACAATCAGAGTTACACCAACGATTCAAAGGACGTTGTTTAAAGACTTGAACTGTGAATTTAGGTTTATTTAAAGATTGTTTTGTAACGTCCTTAAAGTTGATAACATTTTGCTCTCTATTCACCTCGGTTTGTTTTAACAAAGTCACACGTAGTGTGTGTTCAAATGTATTGAAATTGATGTGAGAAGTGGGCCGCCTGATTATTAGAGTCACGGGACATACAAGCTCAAACAATATAGGAAAATGATCGCTATATATATTTGTACCCGAGTTTAAAATAGACCATGTAGAAATACAGAGGCAAGGACTACAGAGGGTCAGATCAATCACAGAATGAGACTGATTGCATACAAACGTGGGGGTTCGCTGCTTAATGCATATTAAATTCTTTTTAGCAACGAAATCCTACAAGCGCTTTCCACGCATATCTGTTCTGAATCCCCACGAAGTGTGATGAGAATTGAAGTCTCTTACAATTAATATGTCTTTTCCGCAAGACGAAATTACGGTATCTAAAACACTAGAATTTTGAACACCTAACGGAAAATAAGCGTTTACTAACGAAAAGGGAAGGTGTCCCGGAAGAGAGATATATAATGTTAAAATTTGACTTTCTAAATTCATTTTGACCTGTAACTTTTACCCGATGCGCAATTTTCGAAAAGATAAACATTGCTAAACCGTGCAACTTCTCGAGAGGGGCGGTCTAAGCGAAATGTTCGGTAGTTTTTAAGATGAAAGGTTTTTACTTTAAAGAGCCAAGTTTCTTTCAACACTATAACATCTGGTGAATGCTGATTACAAAGGCAAAATAAATCAGTAGTTGCGGAAAAAAATGACCGGCAATTTCACTGCAAGATTCTCAATCCACCTATTATGAGGATATGCCAGCTGCGTTCACTGCCTTCTGCAATAAGCTATCTTTCAAAAAATCCTCCTTTGAAGTTATTTCTTTCTGATATTTTTTTTTCCTTTTCCCTTTAGGACTCACTGGAGATCCATGTTTTCGTGGCGACGCCCACCGTTTCATTTTTTGTGTGTGTGTGTGGTGAATTCCATTTGTGAGTCCTGCGAACCTGAATCAGAGCTCCAATCCAAATGGTCAATGGGGATTATTTTACGGCCGAAGTCTGACGGACCAACTCTTGATGAATAACTCTTCAACAGGTGTTGTTATCGGGTGTCTGGGTTTAGAAAGACTTGTTTCTACAGACCCTGTATTCACCTCTTTAGCTGAAAAAAGCATACATGGAAGCTGCATGTGGATGATTAACATTCATAAGGATTTGAGCGATTTGTGAATTTACTATTTGAGCAAATGACTCTGTCAGCGTCACAAAAGGGTTCTCCAATAGCTTTGTCATTGTTTTTTCAACGGTCGAGGCTATCACGTCTTAGAGTGACGAGTCCAAGACATGGTTATTACGGATCGCAGCAACAGCGTGCCCACGAGAGCGCTCTGCGATGGCGATTCGAGCTTCGCGTCTTGAATAACGTTTTTGCTCAATTATTTCCGTAATTTGGATCTCCTGAGCTCTTGCAGGGCATGTGCCATCGTCAGATGGGTGAGGGCCACCGCAAAGACAGCAAGACCTTTCCTGAGTTGTGCATTCTTTAGAGTTGTGTTGTCCTACACACATTTGACACCGCTCTACTGATCAGCAACCCTTTATGCAATGCCCAAAACGCCAGCATTTATGGCACGGCAGTAGACGAGGAGATAGCGCTTCGACCCGATATATTAGTGGCCACTATTTGATCACTGTTGGTCTAGTAGTTCCAGCAAAGGTAACTATCACCGACTCTGTCGGGATCTTATTTTTGTCAGCACTTCGTGAACAGCGAAAAACTGCCACTGCGACTTCTGCAGAAAACATCTCTAGAATTTCGGGTGGAGATAGGCTCAAGTCTACCCCACGAACCAAACCTTTCAAGTGAGGAGGAACAAAATGGCTCACCGGGAGAGAGGCAAACGATGTGCATTTTAGCAGATCTGATACGCAGGCCTGATCTGGGGAACAGCACAGAATACCTTCACGACCAAACTGTCACACCTCGGTTATGAGTTGGAAGTGTTCGGTCACCTTGCGTAGCTCCTCCTGAATGCTTTTGAGGTTTTTCATGGGAATAGAAACTACCACACCTCGTGACCTTGAGCATTTTTTTTCTGCGAATATGCGGCTTTTTCAGTGTGATCAAGCGCTTATGCGTGGACAAGTAGCGGCCTCCCGCGGCTATCTCGGTAACTTGTTTTTTCGGTCACAAACACACAGACGATTTTTCGCTCAACACAAACGGGGCCGACGCCACCGGCGGCGTTTTTGTGACACGAGCTCTTTAACGCTATCGCGTTAATAACGTATGCCAGGCCCTGCTATATTCACCCCTTTTTAGTGACTTCAGGCCCTATATCTACGCTGTAGCCACTCTTGCCCGTTTTGAGTGTGCGGTTACGTTATCTATGGGCGTATCTGGGAACCAGAGTGTGACATGCGACGCGCACACCTTTCTGCCGTCAGGCCCAGCTCTAGAGTAGCTCCGCAGTTAAAGAGTGATATTTCGTCTTTTAAAGAGCTTATCGTGCATTGCCGTTCCACATACCGTCAACAAAGCCCTGGGAACAGGTCAGTAGAAGCAGCAGCAGAAGCAGTCTACCATAAGGTGCGGCCGCCATCTTGTTCTTCTTCGCATGCCCCACGTTGCACCTTTTCTTTGTTGGTCCTGTGTTGGGGGCTCATATCCGCTATTGTGGATGGGCCAGTTAAAACATATAGTTCTAACTAGAGAGGTGATAAATGTGAAATATTCGGAAAACGAGTGCAGAATAGCAAACCAGATGCTATCTGTTGACCCTCTTGGCCTTTCCTTACGACGATACATCTCTCTCACAGACCTAAGAAAAGAAAGTCCTACAATCGTCTTGAGGTGATGATGATGGAGGAGCTTGCCTGGAATCTAGATGACTGAATAATTATTTTTTTCTTCATCCGAAATTGAAATTTCGTTTTACCCAATACATTAACCGCCAGTTTAATGGCCACTTGGTGGGTACGAGCCACAACATAGGTACAAACAAGCAAGCAACAAACTGATTAGAAGAACCCGTGAATCATCCGTACTAGTTGTTCTTTACCATCATATGAAGACGCGACATACTCTTGTAATAGTGATTTCATATACACATATATACACAAGATGTCATCATTGACATGTCGATGCAACTCTATACAAAGATTACATTACTGGTTACAAAGCTCTTCGTGTGTTTTTCTTTAAAGATTACAATTGTGGGGTCTGTGAAGTAAGTATATGGCGCGGGGATCTTGAATTAGAGATTGCAGTTGAAGTGTCAATACAGGTTCCGAGTCGAGGTTCTCCTGCCGCCTCTGCTTTGTGGGCTGTCACTTCAGGGTCTGTCTGTCGATGCGCCTTCTTCGCAGCACAAAGTGCACATGCTTTAAAGGTGTGTAGTTGGTACCTCGCTATTCATCAAAATGACGAATGGCATAGTGGTACAGAGTGCTTCCTACTTCATTAACGTTACGATGGGCGTGTAGTTGGTACACTGCACTGTCGCATGTCTAACCTACATGCCGACGGACATGCCTCCCGAGCATAAGAAGCTTGGCGAGCAAGCTCCCAAAATTTCTTCAATTGCTGTTATATGCTTTATATCTCCTTGATAGAAACATAAGTTGTTCGACAGTTGTTCGCTAGTTTTCCCGTTACAGTATCCAAGAAAGGCTTTCTTTCATTTTAACATGATAGCGTTAAAGAGCTCGTTTCACAAAAATTGTGGCATCCGCGTTGTAGTCGTTTGTTGCGAGCAAAAAATCATCTTGTGCGTGGAAGAAAAAAACATGAAAAAGCTGCTAAAAAATAATATAAATTTTCAGGGCAGAGTGTGGATCAAATTCTGGCTGGCTACGTGGGAAGCAAGTGTTCTACCATAAAGACATAGTAATTGTTTAAACCGTTTAACAAAGGTTCTTCGCAGCGCACGCCATCTCTATTATGTTAGTGCATGCGTCTGACTTCGCGCCCCTTCTCTATTATGTCAATGCGTGGGGCTGTGTTTGCGCACCCCCCATAGCAGGTGACTATATATGGGAGCGACCGCCCCCTTAACCCAGAGCCGTATATTCCCTTGGGCCTTAGCCTCCTCCCGTGCGCCTGCCTATTATAGTGAGGTGAGTCATCTTCGGAGGCCTCCACCACGTACAGACGCGTCCACGGTTAAAGAGAACACTTGCGTGCACCGCTTATTTAGATTTCCCTTTCTTACAGAAGCACAGTGGCTTTTATTTGCATAAGATTATTGGTGGTTTAGAGTTCTGACTCCTCATGACAGATTAGTGGAGTGCTTGAAGACTGCTTCCTTATCCATATACTGTTACTGGGCTGGAAATATTGTCACGGGTTATAAAATACAGGGTTTTATTCAGGAACACGGAGAGTAGAACTCGTAGATGCTGATGCTGATGCTGATGACCTCTGATGAATGGCGCTTACCCACAAAGGGGGATGGGCCAAGAATCGGGCGGCAGGATACTTAATGAAACTAAAATGAAAATGAAGCCAATCTGAAAAAGTAGCTTAAAATAATACTACCAAAAAACAAAAATGTTTGCTGAGCAAGTGGTCAAACCATCTTTTGTTTTTGAAAGACATAACTACGAATTATAAACTAAAGATCTGAAAAGGTAGGGGATCACTAGAAACGCTCTCAAAAGAGGGCCGCTAAGATTGTCGTCTTCTTCACTCGCCTGCGCTGCGCCTCTCTGACCCTGGCACAGGATGCAATATCCCAGCAGGTTTGACAGGTGCTACCCGCTGACAATCAATGCATGTTCGGACGTAATGTTTCACCTCTGCTGCGATTCTTGAACAGGGGTATTTTTCTTTGACGCGTGTCAGTGCTCTTGTGAAACCGAGGTGACCTGTAGTGGCTTCGTCATTGCAGCTTGTAAAATTTTGCTGCGGAGAGTTTCAGGAACTACCAGCGGATAGCTTTACCTGTTGATGAGAAATTCTTTTTGTGGAGAAATTCGTCCCGTAAACAGAATGATAAGTTCTTCGAAAACAATTTCGGTGTATTGGCGGCTCGTCCGTTCAAGACTTCTGTAAGCCAGTTAAGCTCCCGATCATCTTGTTGTTGCCGAGAAATGATAGCCGCATCAACAACTCCTAAAAACCTCTGAATTTGTGATCCTCTGTAGCCGGGGATTCAATCGGTGACCTTGATAAACAGTCAGCGTCTAAGTGTTTCCTTCCGGACGTGTAAACTACGGCAATGTCGTACTCTTTGAGCCGTAAGCTCTATCGTGCCAAACGTCCAGATGGGTCTTTCATGTTGGTCAACCAACAAAGAGAGTGGTGGTCGCTTACGACTTGGAAAGTGTCGTCGCTATGTCGCAGCTAGACGCAGCTATGCTCGCGGCAATATTGATGGTGTTCATTCGAGTGCTCCATGACCGATATTTCACGTACCAGCGAAGCATAACGGCTGCTACACAATTGCCATCGCTCAAGATCACTCGATAAAGACGCATATTATTACCGAGACAATGCGCATGCACCTCAGGCATTATGCCAGGACCCCTTCTCACCACCTGGCGAGCCTAGTTGCCGAAAGGCCCCGCACGACATACGGCACTATTGTCTACAAGCATCGTTCATCGTTTACTGAGACATACGCACCTGCATCAAAGCCACTGCTTCATCCTTGGAGCTTGAGCCGGCCGCGAGTTCACTTAATGGTTCCAGGAATGAGGAGAAAATCGGACTTACCGACACATGCCCTGAAACAACTGAGTCTATGCCTACTGGAACAAAACTACAGTAACCACGTGCACATTTACACGGATGGCTCTACTACACCGTCTAGTTCAGGTGGAGCAGTGGTTATACCATCACAAGGGGTAACTCGGTGTTTTAAGACTTCACATGTGACAACGTCAACGACGGCAGAACTCGAGGCTCTGCGCAATGCACTGGAACTCATCAATTCAGAAGAAAGACCAGGTAAATGGGCTGTGTTTTCTGACTCAAAACCAGCGTTACAGTGCCTGATATCAGTTCTCCGACGCGGATTCCACGACCAGTTGACCTACCAAACCGTGAAACTTCACCACCTTTTAATACAAAAAGGCCATGACATCGTCTTTCAGTGGTTACCTGGGCATTGTGGTATAGGCGGCAATGATTCTGCGGATCATGCTGCTCGCACGTCACATAAAGAAGCGAACAGCGTTCCGATTCCGCTTTCAAGAGCGGATGCGGCGAGGCAGATTCGTCAACTGGCCCGCAGTCTCACACTGACTGAGTGGAACACACCAAGCATACGACGTACAAGACTGCACGAGCTCGACCCTTCACTAAAACTCCGGCCTCCACCCGGCCTACATCGACGTGCAGCTTCGCTTCTCTATCACCTTTGGCTGGGAGTTGCTTTCACGAAAGCCTATACCACATTAATCGGAATTACTGACAGTGCGGCGTGCGATGCTTGCGGCACCGACGAAAATATCGAACACCTGCTGTGCCATTGTCCCCGATTTGCCTCAGGTAGACAAGTACTTGCCAACGCAATGCAGCGACTGGATGATCGGCCTTTTTCTGTGCAGGTGCTATTACAGCAACATCCACATGCCTCGACAGCCCACAAGGCAGTGAAAGCCCTGCTGTGTTTCCTGAGAAAGACAGCTAGGCTTGTGTGAACGCCTTTGACATGCGGTAAAGTTCTACACGCTGCAGTGAAATTACTGTCAGTCTCTCCCCCACCTTTTTTCTTTTCCCTCTCTTCCCTCTTTCTTGTCCCCTTCCCTAATCCCCAAGTGTAGGGTAGCCAACCGGATGTCTTTCTGGTTAACCTCCCTGCCTTCTCCCTTTTGTTGCTTCCTCCTCCATTCGTTTCCTTACGACACGGTTGGCATGTACCGTGAATCGAAGCAGGCTAGCAGTAGGTTCAGAAGGCGATGCGCATCATTCCTGATTGCGCCATCGTGATCTCCTCTTGAAGGCGAAGCATCCTCTAATTTTTTATCTTTTTTACATGCCATTAGTACGTGGCTTGTGTTTATAGCCAGTGATTCTGCGAGAACTATCGCCTAGAGCAGTTGTGGATGTCTGGAAGCCGTTGTGGGCACGCACATGTTCAATAATTATTGACAGCATTCATTAGCCTTTACAAAGATCTTTACAATATGTAATATGGCTTAGTAAAAATAAAATAATAATTTGAATCCAATTTTGCAAAGAAGGAGACGAAATAAAGTGATGTATCGTTAACGACTTAGCGGAGGGGAAAAAAGGCCACAACTTTGCCGCAAAGACAAAGCAATGAACGCGATATCAACAAATTGGAAGGCCACGCGCAGAATTGCCAGCAGATCAAAACATGCCCCACATTTCTTCCGCACAAATGACGCATGAAACGTACCCTCAGGTACAGATGAACGCGAATAAGGGACTCAGTTGTTACTTCATTGTGTCTGAAAAGCGCGCTTTTTTTTCGCAAACAGTGAAACGATTGCAGTGATCTTTGTGCGCCCGGTAAATGAAACAGAATCGTAGCCAAAGACCAGCCAAAGATCTTTAACACCGTGAGATAAGGGCGCGAGAGTGAGCGTCGACTGCCTGCTTTTCGTGGGGCAAAGTGCACGTGGGAGATGGTAGCACGCGCCGCCGCGTCGTGACGATGTTGCTACGCGCGCTCATTGCGCCATCTTGCTCGTAATGCTGAAATCACGATAGTTCCCCCCACCCGAGATGCCCGTCAGTAGCGGTAAGTTGTATATATAAATAGCGTGCCATTTGAACGTTGAAGGACGTGCTCCTCGGTGGCTCAGTGGTTAGTTAACGCCTTGCACGCACGATTCAGAGGTCCCAAGTTAGATTCCGTGCGCCGGAGTCTTTTTCTGGATTTTTTTTTCTTCCTTGCATTTTAATATTGTTACACGACATCGGCAACGAAAGAGCATCATAGACGACGAAGATGATGAAAGCGACCGTGCTCGTGTTGTTGTTGCTGTTGGGCCTCCATCTTGGCTGCAGCTGCCTCTCCCTGTATATTTTGTAAATATATTTATTTCATTCATTTTCTCACCCCCGTGACAATATATACTGATACATATACGGTGAGTGACGGTGACGCCCACACCGACGGTAAAATCCAGCCGAGAGTGTCCAATAATTGTTATCGCAATAATATGTAAAAGTGTGCTTCGAATTATATTTCACGATCTGTAACTCCTGTAGCTGTGTCCATTGGTCTAGTCTTGTATGTGTACGTAACATACAAATTATCAAAATGGGACAAGTCTCCCCCCCCCCCAAAAAAATTAATTATATGCCTTTGACATGGGAAATATTGGATAGGCCACCAAGCAATCACATTATGCGCTCGCGGCGCTCTGTGCTTATGCTGGCGCCGTGCAAAGAACAACAGTTTCATCACACATGTGCTATAATATGTATTCGCTACATTATGGAAAGCTTTTGAGTGCGTACACAACAAACAAGAATGTAAGATATGAAGACAAAAAAGCGCTTGTTTTATTACCTCACGTCTTTGTTTTCTGTGAGCGCGTTCTGAAGCTTGCCATAATGAATTCCAACCAACTCGCTCAGTTTGTGCACTTCTGCATTTTAAATATATTCACTTTTCACGGTGTTAAGGAACTGCATATCCAACATTTAGTGAGCGACCGCTATGTACCGATCATGAAATGTGACGAATGGAAGTTTGTGGCGTCAACGTACACGAAATGCAGTTTTCTTCTGTGCTCTCTCTACAGCTGCGGAGCTGTTCGCATACGATGAAAATTTAGTTATTTCACAAAATATTTTGTTTTCCACTGATTTATTGTGGAGCGCGGTGCATTGCACTTAGTGCACGGCGCAGCATTTTTCCAACTTTGCAGTCCAGCTGGTCGTTATATAAAACATTGCACAGGTATTGGTTAAAGCTGAGGTCTGGATGTGACTGCATACCATTAGTTAATTAGAGAGAGGGAACACTCTGAGGAAACAACTGTGGCGCAAAAGTACAAAGGCTGATGCCTGCTGACGTCACTGCCTCGGCAGTGTACGTATTAACAGTGGAGCCCTTAAATCTCGACGTTTGGTAAATGTGTTCCAGTATTCTCGTTCACTATAATGTTAGGCCATGCATAGTGAACAGAAACTGTCATTATAGTCCTCTAACATTTGTTGTATTACTCAACTGGGGCACGCTCTTTGTCCTCTGCCTAAGGCCTTGCTAAATAAAGCTAATTTCAATTAAGAACACCTTAAATAAGCACTCACTAATTATGACCGAGCTATTTTATCATTCACGCAGTCAAGACAACATTTGGACAATAAATATAGTTCGACACTCCACATATAGCAAAGCCTTGCAATGCCCAGCCGAACCCATCAACAGCTTTGTCGTTGCTAGGTTTGGCGGTGTTAGTGGGTTCGCGTTCTTGCATGCATGCATGCGTGTGTGAATGAGAAAATGCCAAGTTGTGCCAGGTTCCAACAGAAGCTAGGTTGGCCACACACTCTGCTGTTAGTCCAGCCTTGCACCACTATTGCAAGCGGACTCCCACATTTTGGGGAGGTGGGTGAGGACTCACTAGTAGTTATCCCAGCTTAGGGGGACGATGGTGGCACCCAAGTAGTCGTCATTGAAAAGGTGTCGGTGTTTGCAAAAATTAGCATCCAACTGTATCCCAATGTTTGGCTGTCTACCATCAAACACTTCTACATCGCCACTCACTGGCAACACTCCCCTTGACTGGAGTGGCTAGAACATACTGGCCAGTATATTCAAAGCCCATAACTTCGGCAAATAAGGTCCTCAATGAGATGTGACATAACACAAGCAGCTTGAAAACTCTGAATTTGTCACAGTGTATTTATCTCACTTTGCCTGCTTCACTGGTTATAGCAGGTGCAGTAGGTACTCTAGTCAGAAATGTTTACAGCTTTTCACAATTTCCTGTAATGGGTGCACAGTTGCCTTGTGCTAAATCATGCCTGCCGAACTGCACATTGCACAATGATGACAAAACATGGAGTTCAGATAGCTGTATGAGGAACAAAAACATATAACATTTCTGTCTTCTTAATGTCTTCCGTTGCAATAATGTTAAAACAAGGTGGCTTGCCTTCATCTTGGCAGCTCTGACAAATTCAAGAAAGAACAGGCTTCATTCTCAACCCATCGGTACATCACATTTCCTTTGCTCCATTGCTGTTGATTGCCTCAAATCCACACCTTCCTGCAATCTCTCTAGTTAGGACTTATTAATTCCACCAATTACATTAAATTGATCATGAAATCACTAAATTAGTAGCAAATAAAGCTGAAGAAATCTTCAGCTTATTACAAATTTGGTTTCAAAATAAAATTTGCATTTTCATCTAAATTTCTTTGCTTTCCCATATCTAACACAGTTTCTACAATACTCAGTAATAAATAACATTGACCACTGGATCACATTCCCAATTTCAAGTCAAGTGGCCTAGCTTAAACAAACCAATGATGGCAACTCTTAGAAAAGTGCAGGAGACACTGACCGGCCATCATCTTGACAACTTCCAGTATTCTTTTATTAGTTTATGCTTGCCAAAGAGCACATCATTGCTGCCTTTAGCAACTAGTAATTTATGGGATGAAAAAGCCAGGTGCCAGAAAAGACAACTAAAAGGAAGCTCACAACCACACAAGTGAAGGCCAGGAAAAGTATAGACACAACAGTGAACAGATAGATTGCTTGGGAGAATTATTTGGATATTTAGTGTGAGCCAGGTGGGTCATATAACGTGTGAGACAAACAAGTTGTAGTCTATTGAAGCAGTCGTGAAGGGAAAATGAACATAAATGAAGTTGCAGATGGGTGGAGATAAAACTCTCTAGCAAGCAGTGTTTTGAGCCCCTTTGACAAAGCGCCTTGTCACCAGAACGAAGAACCGCGCAAGTTTCATTACTGCCTGCATTAGGCCAACTGCTTTGACAGAATAAGACCAAGTCTTCCAGAATAAACATTAGCTTTAGAGACATTTCCTTGAACAATAGTAGATGACTTTGTCTTTATTTATCTGTCAATAACATTCTCATTTAAATTCACATGTGTTTGATACCGTACAAGGACACTTAAGGCCAACCTACACGGAGCAAACATTACTGGCACACTTTTGGCCAGGTACCTTTGTCATACTGCACATATATGCCATAAAAAAAAGGCAGGAGTCTCCAAAATTTCAGTCTTTTTATGGCTGTAAGCCATATATATGCATTGCGTCCTGATTAGGACATCCCACCCGCTTGCATTTGCCACTTTGGGTGGGAAGCTAGAAATATCAAGACCAGCTTGATCAGCAGAGAACAGCTTTATCTCAGCTGCCAGCCTCCAGGCTAATGCTTTTTGCCAGAAACATGTGCCAAGTGAGTCTGCCTTTTGAGGTCACTTCTGGCTCGATTATGATGACAAACTTTGGTGTTGCACAGAGAAAACCTTTATTATCCTATTTAGAACATGTGGGACTTAGTCTGTTTTCATTGGAGGGGGGCTTTCGCATGGCAGTGACCCATACAATATTTGTGTTTAGTATGGTTACAGTGTAGTGAAGACCTGCCCCCCTCTGCCTGATTTTTCAAAGCCCTGAGAACACTACAGTGGCATGTTCTTTTCCACACTACTCGATTCAGTTTTTTCCAAGCTAAACAACCAGCACAATGAGAGGGCTTAAGAGTTCTTACATGGTGATTTACTTCACTGATTGAGCTCACGAGTTCTGGGCACATAGGCAACAAGTCCTTCCACACCTGTTAGAAAAATGGGAAAGGTGCCGATGCCAGATGTGCCATCATGAAAGCTGGACTAAGTTTGATCTACCTAATGACCACACATTGTCGAGTGAGCATTATCCTCAAGGTACACTTAAGTTTTGTCAGCTTCGAACAGGGAATTCGGCTGCTGAACAGGGAAACCAGCACTAGCCAATTGAGATATTGCACAATTGTTTGAAAAACCAAGACTAAAACAGGGAGATCAAAAGTAACCAGGAAGGCGTGGGGCAGCCATTTTAAGAACCATTTTATAAACACCAAACCAGTTAAGCTGCTACTACTGCCAACCATATAAATTCCTGCCATATTTTTTTGTTGAAGAACCTCTACTACCTTGAGAACAGCAGTGCAATATTTACGGAAAGCACTTGTGTTACGTGAATCATTATGATCATTTAAAATCAACTAGCTCACCAGTACCCCCTCTACTACCACTGCCAAGCATACATTTTGGCTCCATCTTCGTTCCCAAAGAGCCTCTAATAATGCAAAAAGCTACAAACATAACATTATCAAATTGTGACTTTCAAACATGTCTAAGCATTCCAAGTTGAATATACCTCTTAGAAATGCTAATCCTCGCTACCAACTGACAGTACAGTTGACTGCATGGGCACATCTGACCCATTTGAACCATTCTCACTGAATTCACTTTGGTGTGCTTGCATGCCCTGAGCAAGTTCAAAGGGCCGCTCAGCCAACACCTCCGCCACCTGAACGACAGTAGAGCCATCTTCGTTTGTCTGTACAATCTGTACCAACTTCACTGGCCGCTCCGACACTTCGCCCGTCACTGCAGCAGCAAGGACTTGGGGTTCCGACAGAGTGCTCGTCGTGTCCGCATTCATTTCTCCTGGAATCTCCGTTCTGGCTTCAGCAAGGTCGAGACTCTCATAACGAACAGTCTGCACCGTGAAAATGTTGTCCTTGTTGCAGCAATAATTGAAGCGCATGTGACCAGACGGCCACTTAAAGCGGTGCTGAGAGACCAGATGGCGCGACAGCGAGTTTCCCTTGGTATACTGCTTCTGGCAGATGTGACACATGTAGATGCCTTTGGGACACTTGAGGTGTTCATCACGCACGTGGTTACGCAGAAAGTGGGTGCTACGCTCGACGAAGTCGCAACCAGCGTAAGGACACGCGAGGCTCTTGTTGGAATGCATTATTTGTATGTGCTTTCTCAGGTCGCACTGCTGCTTGGCCGCGTAGTCGCACTGGTCGCAGGCGTACGGGCGCAGCGACGTGTGACGCCACTGCATGTGGTTCTTGACAGCCGACGGCGTCGGGCAGGTCATGTCGCAGAGAGGGCACTTGTACTGGTTCACGTGGTGCCGCATGTGGTCGCGCAGAAGGCGCTCCGAACTGAAGCTGCGGCTGCAGTAGATGCAATTGTGGCCAGAGCGCTCGTCCTGGCGCTCGAAGTGGTCCAGCAGTTTGGTGCGAGACCAGAACACGCCGCCGCAGTTTGGACACGCCAGCCTCTTCTCCTGCGTGTGCGTGCGAACGTGCTCCTTCAATTTGTGCACCGTCGCGAAGGTCGCGTCGCAGGAACTCCAACCGCAGGGCGCCTTTTTCGAAGGTCGCGCCCCGTCGCACACCTCCTCGGCGTGACAGTCGACGTGTGCGTAGAAGGCTTCCGGGTTTTCAAAGCAATCGTCGCAGTCCGTCCACTGGCACCGGTACTTGTCGGGTGTGTCTGGGATCATGTTGCGAGAGCTCTTATCCATGAGGCAGCGCACAGTTGGCGCGTCTTGTCTGTCCAAAAGATTCTGCCCGAAGCACTTGATTTTGGTATGGAAAGCATGATAGAACACATGAGTGCGTAGCTCGGACGTGCCACTCAGCGTTTCAGCGCACTCTGTCCAAGGACACTGGTTTGTTTCCACAAAGGTCAGGTCATCGTTCAAGTGTTTCCTTACGTGCTGGTATAACAGCGGGCTGTCGTCGCACAAATAGTCGCACTGGTCCCACTCGCAGCGAAGCTGCAGCTTCTCTTTCTTGAAAGCGATAGTAGTCGTCGCCTTTTTGCGTATCATTGCCACTCAGAAGGAATACGAAACGACGAGACGGGATCACGTTCGATAAACCCTGCGAGACTTTTCCCACCAATTTTGATCCCGGTCATCATCTACGGCTTGACTTGCATTGAATTGGCTCAAAGTGACAATTAACAAAAACAATGCAAATATTTTTTACTTGTTTGTGTAAACTTCTAAAAAAAGTAAATAAAGAGTGATTTCAAGTACAGGTTTGTAACGTAGACTGATATTAATGCTTTTATTTCATATCATTATTTGCAACTTGTCAAGGTAGTTTGATGTGGTTTCGGTTTCGTTTCCTGTGCCCTGCACATGGCTGTAAATGCTTGATTGGCTTTTTTATTAAATATTATTGAATCTTTTCTCATGAGTTTATGAAGCCTCTCCCTAAAAACGAGACGAAATGCTCTCACAGTGTGTTGTTTTCAACCATGTTTAAACGCACGTTTTTTTTCTGACCAGAAGACGTAGATAGCAAGCGATCATAGGCGGTCAGGCAATGTGGTAGTAGCCTGTAGTTGTTATTACTCACCATAACTTTAGCTGTCGCGATGCGCCTCTGGCGAAGAAGGTGTCACTGGAGTATGAATCCAACACAGTGCGGAATAATCAATGTATCCTGGCACTTCCCCAAGTTACGCACGAGCCACACCTTGTTGGCTTGCAAAAAAAAAAAAATAAGTGCTGCATTTTCTTCGACTGCATCCGCTGTTTCTGTTTTAGACATATCTCTGCGTAATTAACTAAGATGGATCTGCGAAAAAAAGGCTGGCAGCAACCTCTTTTTTTTTTTTTTGCCTTCCATGCAGCCTCGGTGATTCAAGCCACTGCCAATACCGAAGTATGTTTTAATAACGTTTTTTAAACCAGCGTAAACTTGCTCCACTGCCCCTTGCCAGGTCAGTCGTTACGTTCCTCTGCGCGGGCATTTTTTCTTTCTAGGAAAGAGAGAAATGGGGAGAGGAGGGGGTGCAGCTTGGCATCTACCCCCCCCCCCCCCCCCCCCCCCAATATAAATGTTATAAATGATGTCCACGCCTCTTAGTTCTAAGTGGTGCCTGTTCCACAAAGCAAAAGGTACCACTCACTCCAGAATTTTCACTCCTCTGTTTATTCATTGCACATGAAGCAACACACAAGCCAGTTTTCCATATGTAGCGTACATATGTGGTAAGCCTTTTATATCCCTCCAACATGAGAAAAATTAAAATCACTTGCACATTCAATTGAGGTCATAAATTCGATGTATACCTGTTGGGACGAAAGGAGAAGAGTGCCCCTTCACCAAAAGCATGGAGTAGTGAAGGGCAGCTTTCGCAATGTTTTTTTTTTTTTTTTAGAATCAACCAAATATTGCAAGTGTCCCATAACCACAGATAACAGCACACCAGAGAAACATAATATTGCACCCATGTAATGTTTAAAAATCAGGCAGAACACAGAATGCTGCATAAAAATTTGCTCACAGAAGGCAATGCAACAATAACTTTAATTGCATTCAACTTTCTTGACTAGACTGAAACTGTAGCAACAATACTGTGTCTTGTTTGCAATGGTCAGAATCTACTATCACACTGCTGGTCAAAAAAAAGGAACATTCACAGGAATGTGCAGAGTAATTGAGGTACAAAAACACGGTCAGGCTAAACAGTATAACACAGGTAAACATGAATCGCAGCAGGGTGATCATTACATCCAATGTCATTCCATTTATCTGTGCTTGGCCGCAATTCAACAATTTAGCAAACATTTCTATACCCATTTCACATTTCAGCGCCGGAAAACATAGCACAAAACAAAGCCACATGTCCTGGTTCTATTTTGCTTTTCTACGCTTTCTTGCAACATAGTTTGAAACAGTTGACTTGATCACCCAATTCAGTTTATCATAATTTTTTGCTTAAATGTCTGTTTTCTAATGTGAACAATAAAACAAATTTAATGATATCAGCTACACCTTAACAGTTTATTAGGAGGCCTAAATACCATCTTTTTGAATGAGTCAGAAATACAGTACTTTATGGTTACCTCTTCACATCACTTGATACAAGCGATATTTGGGCAACAGTACATAACTGAGACAATTAGGAGAAATGCTACTCATTACTAAGCCCCAGTTATTTGCAGTTATTTCGTCCTCCTGCAGTTATTTTCACCCAATAAAAGGGTTCCTTGAAGTGTATGCAAGAACGGCTCAATATCACATGCACCAAACACAACAAGGCTAGGTGTCACTGTTTTTACACATTAAAGAACCCCAGGTGGTCAAAATTTCCGGAGCCCTCCACTACGGCGTCTCTCATAATCATATGGTGGTTTTGGGACGTTAAACCCCACAAATCAATCAACTGTTTTTACACAGCTCTGTCAATTCTCAGGCAAAAAAATTTTCTTAAGCAAGTTTTAAATGCTTATAATATTCTAAGAGTGATTTTCCTAAATCTCCCTTTTTTTCTGTTACTTTTGTTTTATTATAGGAAGAATGTTGCGAATCTCTAGCAAAATGTCTGAAAGTGCGACACAGAGAAAAAAATAATAGACAATTTACTGCTTTATTCCTACAGTTTCAGTGATGCGTGAACGAAAATTCAGTTATGTCTCAGGGCATTACAATGGCTTTCTCAAGTAACCATGGACACTACAGATATATCAGGTATCTTTGAGTTTACGACGATGTCCGCTACAATCTACTAGGGTAAGCATATTTCACGTAACATTTTCAAGTTAGATATGTGCACATATTTAGCCCAAAAAAAATTTATTAGCACATGCCAACTGGATACGCTGTCCATGCACTTTTATCTGCTACCAAGCAGCTACTCTTAATTAAATCGCATAAGGCATTTGAATGCCTATAAGAAGAATATTATTTTTACAAACACATTTCTATGCCGAATAAACAAAAGCTGTTCATCGGTCTATTGCTCTGTCACGATATTAATGACGTAAGACGATAAAAAATTTAAACGTAGAAAAGAAAATGATTTTCCTCGACGGTGCAGGGTTTCGAACACAAGACTTTAAGCTTCAACAGTGAATGCCCCAATTACTGGGCTACACCACACACTTAAAGAATGTCACTCTAGGTGAACCATACAAATGCGGTGTACCCACAGTGCAAAACCTAGTGCAACAATAAAATTACCTGTGGTGCAAATGTTAAAGAAATAATACTTTCTATGAAGGCTTTGTTGAATTTTGTGGAAGTGGAATAAAGGCCCTCTCAATGGTATGTAATGCCATATGTGGAGTGTTCTGCACATTAGGAAAACTCGGGCTGAAAATCTAATGCCAAACTCGTGTTTCAGTGATGGCAGGATGTACTTTCTGCAGGGTTGCTCCAAGTGCTGAAAAACACTAGTCAGAAGATGAAAAACTCTACACCGTTCTAGAGAAGGCCGGAACCTATAATAGCACGTATTAGAACTGGGTCCGCAACAGAGTTGCTCACATTGAATGGCTGCATTTTGCGAACTGGGAATGAAAAGATTTGTGCACGTTCACTTTATATAAAACACGATATTATTGTGTATGCAAAGCTGCTACAGTCAGGCCACAAATGTGTAAACCACTCAAGACAATAGCGCAAGAATTCAGAAAATTTGGGAAGTTGTCAAACGCATGATATAACTCAATGTGGCTAAGATAGACCACAATGACAATTATCCTTTAACTGACACGTAAATTTCCGACAATTTTTACCGTTCGTTCACCTTCTGAGAATATGAATTAATGAGAAAATAAGAGGTTGCATGCAAGCATATAAGTATTAGTATGTTAAATCTGTAGAGAAGTTTATACTTTCATTTGCAATGTGCTTGGATAGCCTTTGTTATGTCTACATTTTTATATGTCTACTATTCCTACAAGGGCATACAATCTATGAAAATATCAGTTGGACATCCAGCACACATGTAACCCTGTGATGGGTCAATGATATCTGAGTAGGATATTTCTGAGTTGTCCATGGTTACTTCGGTAAGTATGGTGAGAGCTACTTTATTCATAACCAGTCTTGATAAATCTGCACACACACTAACAAATGCACTCATTACTGATAAGGGCATTACCACTGTTCACTTCAATAGCAAAGATAAACTTGGTAGGCACTGGCCAATGAAATCTCAAGCGACTCAAGCACAGAGGCTGTCACGCCTCAGCAAGAGCAGCAAACGCTTAGTGATGTCACCTAAGTGATCGTAGCAACTAAAAATGTCCAATAAGACCAACTACACAGCTGTCACGGTGTGAGCTAACAACGACCAACCCTAATTGCCAGCGAGAAGTTGTGAATTTGAGATGAGCACTATAAAGCCTGCAGACGTTACAGTGTCCACAAATGCTCATATGCATCACTTTCGTTAATAAAGGAGTACTGACACAAAAGTTTGAAGGTAAGATAACTTGGAGATACAGATTCGTGTAGACTCACATACACTGTCTAAAATAGATCAATGGCCAATAAAGCCAAGAACATGTTTAGAATCAATTTCAAAGCCTATGCTACCCACTGAATGCAAAGCAAAAGAACCTTGCAATAGTGACATTAACTTGGTTTTAACGTAAGCAGTCAGCCATGCACCTTACACGTGTTTAGTGCCACAGCTGTCATGCACGAGCACATGCTTACACATGCAGGCACACACACAGAGTCCCACCTTTTTCTAAAGCTCTCTGAAACTGAAACTTCGACTGTGCATTTGTTCAACCGTCGGAATTTCATGTTCGGACAAGCTAGGGTTTTAGTTTTGAGAAGCAGGTATAATTAGCAACTTATTGCAGCATAAAAAGTAACATGCAAAACTTTTGTGTCAGTACTCCTTCAAAAAACCACTCTAGGCACACCAACAACTCGTTACTTGCCTGGTTACATCACAGAAATCCAGCAAACTAAGGACACCATGTTGACTTCTGCTGGAAGAAAGCGCATGGTACAAATTTTTCCTCACGACAACATATTTCATGTATTCATGCACGTAGAAATAATACCTGAAAGAAAACATGGTGTCACTGGTGATGGTAGTGTTTTAGCAAACACAAAGGAGTGCCCGGACATATGGAATGTTTGGCTTGTTTTGGAAGTAGTCCGACTTAAAATGCGAGCAAGGCTTTTTTTTTAGACCAATGACATACCCAAGTCTCCACAAAAAGCGCCCATTCTTTCTAATGAACTACGCACTGGCGTTTACTATAATGTACCATCACAAAAAAAAATAAAGAAAATGGGAATATAAAAGAGAAAGCAATGCTGGCATGGTGCAATTTCGATTGAAAAATTTAATGAAAAATGAAGGTGAAAATGTTCACATTGTGTGCAATTATGTGGACTAGAACAAACATAGCTGAATTATAGTAATTTAATTATACTAATGTATCAGATATAGCACCTTGCAGGTTCTTTTGATACAGGCTAAATCATTGCAAAGGCAGAACAACAGTCACTATGTGAACAACATTCAGCTTGCTAACCATTCAGTCTGTTTACGCTGTCTGAGAAAAGTCGATCTGGAGCCAGTGGTTTTTGAAAAGTTCCTGCATGCAACATCACTGCAGTGGTGCTATTTTTCTCTAGGTAATGCAGTACAACGTAGCCCTGCGATTCCTGAACAATTCAGTGCACTCGGAATGCAAGGTTGGACACAAAGAGAAAGGCCAACAGGTTGTACTGAAATAATGTGTCTGACCATAGTTACAAGGACTTTCACCGGTACGCTGTACAAGGGGTGGCCACACAGACTCAGCAGCGTCCCCACATCGCATCAATTTCGCGCACTGTTCACTGCATACAACGCCACTGCCAACCTCCCACTTTAACATACATAAACAGTAACATTCATTGGCCTGTCCTTAAACAGGCATCCCTACAAGTTCGATGAGTCCCTGCATGAGTTCAGCACCTCTTGGTAGTCTTGTTCGAGCACACGGTCTAGCAAAAGGCAGTCGATCTGCCGGTCGTCGAGAGTACCGCCGGTGCCTGTGCTTAGGAGGCTGTCCGTGTCAGAGCCTTCCTCGACTGTTTGAAGCCGCTGGGAAGTGCCGTCCAGAGTGAGTCTTCGTGCTGCTTTCGCCAATGATGCCTCAATGTCCAGTGCAACGACTGGTGAAAGATCTTCAAGCGTGGCGAGAGGAACCCCAGGGGCACTGCGTCCGCAGAATACACGAGTCACTCGATATCGGTAAGGATGCAAAGTGAGCCCTTTATTCAGCCAGCTAACAGAGAGGACTGTCCCTTAAACTTGACAAAACATCAAGAAAAAATTGTACTAGAAGTCCATTGTCAGTTAACCATACTGGTTTCTCTATACCAAGTTGCAACCATAAACATAATAATTCATGGTCCCTCCAATAAGTATATAAAAAGACAGAGCACTCGCAGCCCATGAAAGAAACTGTAAGCTGTTCTTATAAGCATACAGCTGTGGCGCAGAGACTGCTACACAATGAGGCAAGCTTGTACTGGTGTGGCAGCTTGGGCTAGTTGGTATGGCATGACGATAGTTATAGCGCGAGAACAAAACGTGTGTCGTCGTTTTGTTCTCGCGCTGTAACTATCATCTTGTACTGGTCTTTCAGTTTCCCGACTGCATGCTATCCCCTTAAGGCAACTAAATTCTCTATTTTTAGACAGGAAGAAAGGCAGTCAATAGCACTGAGGTATGAAACTTTTGCATACCATTTTCTATCTTGATCAATTCTTCAATGAAATCTGATAGCACTACTTCAACACATCAAGTCATGTCTGGCATTAGAGGTACCCACACGAAAGTTTTCATTTCTTGTTTTTTGTGTCAAACGAAAAACCAAGCCCTTGAAAGCTTAAAATGTAGCGCTGTGCGCGAGTGCACCCTTTAAAAGTAATTACAGAAGGCTTTCTAAAAGCTAGATTCGGTTCCTACTATACAGTGACGTCAACACAGTACAAACTTCTCATCGCATGTTTGTGCAAGATATGGTGACGTGTCCATGACTGCACCGCCCTGTGGCTTCGTTGGTGATGCACCAACAGTCAATTTAAAAGTTTTGGTGATGCACAAGAGCCCCTCATGGAAGTTTCGGTACCTATGTCATCAAAACTAGCCAGACTGCACTGTGAAGTTACCGGAATTACTAGTACTGTAGCCTGACATCATGTTAGTGTTGATGCGGTAAGTGTGCCATAAAAATTGACCTCAATATCAAAATCAAATATCTTATATGCATTTTCTGAGCATCATACTTTATAAGATCTGTCTCTGTATATAGGAACTATGAATGGCAGAGTAAACTCGGCTTCGAAAAAAGGTGTCAGTACCCCTTTAACAGCTAGCACGGCGCAATCAGTGAACAGAACTGTTACTGGAGTCTGCCGCACTTCCTTATACACATGTCCTGTGCTGATTAAATTACTTACCCATTGTTGTTTGAAGCTGCTGTAGTTAAATCGAGCACAATCTCTTCATTGCCGTTGCACTGTGTGGTGTCTGGGAACATCCGATCTATCACCGCGGCAACCAGCTGCTTTAACGTCGGCACTGCACACTGCGAAACTTTTGCACACTTCTCTTCTGCGACTTGCGATTGAGGAGTCTTGCCCGTGAACACTCGGTCGACAAGCGATGAAACAAGTCCTCTGTGCTGACTAGTTGGTGGCGGCGACGATGGGTACCTCACGTGAGCTTGACGGCCTTCCTGTGTGAAAGTGAAAACCAATATGTAACATAGGACTACGCACGAAAATGCCTATAAGCCATAGCAATGCAATACTCCCCACCATGTCATGAGCTACAGAAGATTCTGCGTAAATCAGAACTTCCAAAACAGGAAAATGAAACACCTGCCTCTATTACGGTTCCTATTACAGACCATGAACACAATGACCAATATAGCAAATGGACCTAAATTAATGGGAAGAAGATAAAAGGCAATTGTCTCCCTGTGTCACCTACTTTATAGTATTTTAGCACAATGTTTATTTGCCTTAAGTGGCCAAAATGCTTATGGTTTATTATAAAGTGTGCATGAACCGGCTAGCCCAGCAACAAGTACTTTTAACAGCCTCTGATGTGTTGTATTTTTGTGCGTGTTAGGCAACACACAAGACACACTTCCGCAGTTGTAATAAAAAAATTCATATCTTTCCGTAACCAGAACCACCAGCAATGTCTAGTTCTTTAAAAAAATCCCAACTGGTAGGGCAGGCTCTGCCAGTTGTGCTTTTTTATGGAACTCAATGCTAATTCATTTTCACATTAAGTAGGCAATTGAAGAAAATCATTCACAAAATGAAAAAAATGTTCCCGTACAATTAAGCATTGCTTGCTTCGAGTGATTACATGTGTGATAGTTTTTGTCGGAGAAACATAATCACATTTAAATAGTGAGACAGGCATGCATGGCGGTATACTGACCCAGAATTTGCTAAGTCTTCACAAGAACATTCCTGTGCAGTGAAAGGTGCAATTGTGTCCAAAAAAAAAAAAAACATTCCTAGTTTCTGTGCACTAGTAGTCTTCCCTAGCCTCCATTACTGCTAAAGCTGACCTCATCAATGTTAAGAAAGTGTTCAACAAGATGTAATCATCAACAAGATGTAAATGCATCATGGGCACAGAGAGATTAGGCAATGAAATTAATAAATATTATAAGGAATAGCAGCCACAAGCCTGCTTAGTTATGCGAGAGGGTTCCTTAATAAATATCGTTTCACATTGAACAGATTCAATGGCACTTAGATCTCTGTCACCAAGTTTTGCTGACATTACTACTTTTGTATAAATACAATCAAATCTCAAACAAACCTCAATACAACAAAGTTTGCAATGTGATGAACATTTCTTTGTCCCCTCCCCCCCTTCTTTTTTTAGAGGCAAAGCTCCTTATGGCGTCATCCGTTCCTCCCGTTATCGTTTGTAACCACCGGTGGCACATACCCGTTGTCGGAGTGCATCCTCTATGTATGTAGTAAGTAGTCACCTCTCGTTTAGTTCTTAATATGTCCGCTAGATGGTGGCACTTGTATATAATCAATATATGATGAAAATATGCGAGATGATGGTACTTAGAGTGTTCGCTAGACGGACGGATGTACAGACAGACAGACAGAGGCACGGACACTTTGCCCCACTTATCATCATTCAGTCCGTGGATATGCTGTAATTTTTTTTTATTCCACTGAAAGTCATGTATATTTCTCTCAATATAACAATACAGTTATCTCTCACAGATGTAATACAACAGATCTTTGGAGTGTGCTAGAAGAAACAAGAATATTTGGGCAAATCTTCTTGTCTTTACAGGTAATGAGAAATTGTAATGTACTTAAAAGCTACTTCAGTGCAGACAGCTACGAGAAAATTTTTTAAAGCAGTGCTGCGATGCAGAAAGCACACTTGCTATAAGTGTACAGTAGACTCCCTTTAAGACAAATTCGAAAGGACCAGTATAATTTGTTCGTTTTATCAGGAGTTCGCTTTATCAGAAGTGCCCCCAAAAACCAAATGCTAACATGGCAAGTGTGCCCAGATATGTTGCCTGAAAACACTGGAGTATACTTACAGTGGGCAGGAAAAGAACAAGAAAAAGCATTTATTTGGCTCGGCTTAATAAAAACTATGCTTTCAAGTAGAGTAATTGAAATACACCAATCTAATGATTACTCGATTTTACAAGTTCATAATATGCTCATGAATAAACTGCTACCACATTTTAACAGTGGAACTGTAGCATGACTCTGTTTTCACGATTAGAAGAAGATTAAAGGAGACAAGCTCAAGTAAACTGACTTTCTTTTTTTCATTTTGCTTTCTCTTGTTCGCCTGAATGCCCCCATCAAGACTAATGTCTGTTGCGCAGAATTCCCGCCGTTGTCGATTGCTGTGAGAGTTCGTCTTAACAGAAAAGGCGTGTTACGCAGTTCGTCTTAAGCAGATTTTATTTGCACTGAGTCTAAGGAAAACCAAACAAACATTCCCGAGTTGTTCGTCTTAAGCAGGAATTCGTCTTAAAAGAGTTCTTCTTAGAGGGAGTTCACTGTATTTTACTACATGGGATGGCGACAAGTGTATCTATCAGAGGCTTCTGTGTTTCGCTTATTACAACGAAATTTCCCATGGTAAACTTTAGGGTTAATTAAAGGTGAAAAGTGCTGAGATAATATCAAATGTAGAAGGACTTCAAGACTTTAGGAGTGCATAAATTCATTAGCACAGCTGGAATACCAAATCAACAACACAAGGAACTTACCAAAATGCAGTTTGACCTGAACATGATGAAGTAGGATGTCAGCAAAAAGTTCAACTTTCATAGACTACGCTTACAAACATTCAAACTTGTGTACAGTTTCTGATAATCGTCACCTTTATTTATTAATATTTTTTTTTGCAGCCATAAAGATTATCATCCTGTGGCTTTTTCTTCAATACATAGTCACCATTCCCTTTTGATAGGTGTATTGTAGCACAGCCTTTCCTTCAAAGACCTAAACTTGTTTAAGGTATCTGTACAAACGCAAATATGAACAAGCACAGATGAAGCATGGAATGTTACCTCAGAAAGCGCTCTTCGAATGGCCGCTGGATGCCTTTGAATTCTTCTAGGCTCCGGCAATCTCTTATAGGTCTCTTCACAGCAGATATCCTCATATATTTTTAACATCTGCAACAAGCCAAGTGGCACCATGTTTATCGGCGAGCTTCTAAAGTGAGTGATGGAGCTTTATTAACACACACGTATACAGAAAAGAACAAACATGCTCTGATTGTGCATACCACTATTGCAATAGGGATTTATTATGCATTTTTATGGGGAGATGTCAAAAGACTGACGTATTCAGTACAATATAAATACACGGCACGGCAATCGGCATCACAATAGCAAATATCATATGGCGACTCGGGAACCAATCCATTCTCCCATTCTTCATCCCCTAAATGAGCGGCACATAGCATCACCCTCCAAGGTTGGAAGCACCAACTTGGTGCACTTTAGCGAAGACATTAGTTAGAATTTTCACTCTACAGAGAAATCAGCGATGTTCGATATACATGTAAGGCATCAGACAGACTATGTGAACGATGATGGTGTAGGATTAAGTCCATGGAGGCGAAGACAGTGGTACGATTTCACAAGTCCCATTAGTCGCTTGGCAGCCCCAGTTCCTAGTGCATTTCAATCCTGGCGACATTGTTACTGAATCATCGAAACTAGTGAATTTTAGGAATAGCACATTTAAATGGCTTCACGTACCTAAAGTTTTGAACCCTCCTTGCATTCTTAAAACTACAACTCCCCACTGTCGTCTTCTAGGTCTAACTGCTAGACAGAGAAAATCAGCTCGTCATGTAGTATCCGTCGCAGGGCGTTTCAAGTGTCTATGTATGCTAGCGCTGCACTTGCCAAGAGGCTGGCGGGAAAACAGGATTCAAGCCCCAATTAAGTAATGTTTTTCATTTCATTTAGGACATGAATAAAACCAAAAATGGAACCAGAATTTAGGATTATCAGAAGCTAGACGTACACAACTGGTCATGTCCAAGCAGATATCCAGCTAGAGAATGCAATGAACAAGTATGGGCATTTCTTTATGCTTGCCCACTAAAACTTGATTACTTGATCATGATTTTGTCTATGACAGCCATGGCAAAGTCACCTAAAGTATTTCACTCAAACCTAATTACACTGAAACCTCATTTTAACGGAATTGCATCTTACTCTAAAATAAGTTTGTGGTATATAAAAATTCGTTATAAAGATGTATTCAAACACAATATATATTAGAAGACTATTCTTCAGTTACTTATTTTTAACAAAAATTTCGTTACATATGGGTCTGATATACTCACCATATCACTTATGAACTGCCCGGGGTGGCACACACACATTTTGGAAAGAAGAAGTAGGTTTATTCGATGTTCTGGTAATTAATTAAATCATACGTTTTAACTTTAGGTAACATCGCATCAAAGACCACCAAAATTATCACAAATATTTTTGTTTCTCTGGAGATTATCTTTTTCGCATATTCTTCGCCCTCTTTGTCTGCTCTGTCTTTCTCATTTTTATTATTTATTATATTTATTCTTGTTTCACAAATTTACTGCCGCATGCCTCGTGCCCGGTTCCCCATGGTGGGTTGTCATTCTTCCGGGAAATCATCATCTGGAGCAGATGGTCAACTTCTCGTTTCTGTCTTGTTTCACCCGCAACAATACTGAGGTTTGAGTGCATTGACAGCAGTCGGCATTAAACATGCGTGACCTTGCGCCCTACCTCCGAACTAGATAGGCTAGAAGATTTCACTAGCCGCTGCGGGAAACCCATCACCCAGCGCATGAGCCAAAGCTGTCGTTCTCTGCTACCACGGCCACAGCAGTCATCGCTGCTGAGCAGACTGCTGCCACTGCTGCTGCTGTTTGGCATCAGAAGCCGGTTTTGATGCATCTGGTCACTGATTTGCTCCAAGTTGTGCAGGGCCTCAGTGTACGAGAACTTGACCCTCATGACGTCCTCTTCCATGTGGAAGACGCGCTTCTTTTGCTCCTGCAATGGACAACATCGGGTAATTGAAGGGGGGGGGGGGGCAATTTTGTAAAAGATGAAAAGAAGAGAAAAGTGAGCCCCGCAACTGTCTGCAGCTAAGTGCGACATCTCAACAGTAGCTCACGACTGAATGGGTTAAGGAGGGATTTAAGAAGATAGAGTGAGAAGTAAAGATCGAGAAATGAAAAAATTAGGATACGGTCGAAGGAGTCCCAGGACAAGGCTAGAGCTGCCCGGCGTCAGGAGTTCATGAATGGCGGGCTGTCAAAGGAGTCCCAGGACAAGGCGCCGATTGGCTAGAGCTGCCCGGCATCAGGAGTTCATGAATGGCGGGGCGATCGGTGAGGGCTACGCTGGCGTAGGAGATGACGACGACAGTACCGTTCAGCACAGAATCCACCAAGCGAGTTCGTAGATAAGATGAATAAATACTAAAGTGCTAAAGTGTCATTAGCATGCATTATATTTTCAGTTCTGATTGTTTGATTGATTTGTGGGGTTTAACCTCCCAAAACCACCATATGATTATGAGAGACGCTGTAGTGGAGGGCTCCGGAAATTTCGACCACCTGGGCTTCTTTAACGTGCACCCAAATCTGAGTACAGGCCTACAACATTTCCGCCTCCATCAAAAATGCAGCCGTCGCAGCCGGGATTCGATCCCGCAACACACGGTCAGCAGCCTAGTACCTTATAGACCACCACGGTGGGGCAGATTTTCAGTTTTACATGCGCAGTTGTTACTAAGGCAATCGCACAATTCTCGGATAACAGTGGAGGCAATGTACGGCAATGTGAATGTTGTCAAACAATAGCCAAAGGTCAGTCAGCAGCCATGCCAGCGAGTCATCGGAATGAACATTCTTGTCAGAGCAGCCAATGCAGGCACAATAACATGCGATGGGTGCAGTGAAGACCACAGAAACACAAGACTAGGAGTAACTAAGCATCTGAAAGTACTTGGCAAAATTCACGTGGTGCTGTGCTGATACTCAGGACTTCCAAAAAGTGTGAAAAACAAAATATAACCAATCCAAGAAAAAGCATGGGAAAGGCACAATCTTCATGACGTGCAAAACACTGCCAAAGGTGCCACAAAGAAGGATCCACAAGATGCCAAGAAAAAGGGGAGACAGAGCCAAGAAAATTTGTGTCCCAAATTTTTCTTAAACTGATGCCAGTCACACATATGAGAGCAGAAATTTATGGCTGTTCTATATATATTTGATGATATTATTCTGTAATTGAACCATACGACATTAACCTAGCCCTCTAAAAAATAACCCCACCAGGCAATTCAATTGCAAAGTTCTTGATTCCATGTAGCACATAAAAACACAAGCATCAATTAATGCTGAACTGTATGGTGTAGACCATGGGTTCTCAAACGAAGGTTGGTGAAACCCAAGTGTTACATGAAGGACATGTTGGGATTTTGCAGGCAGCTAGAATGAACGCTGTATGCATCCGTATTACCCCCATTAGCAACTAGTGTTGTGCATTATTGTGGCCAGGGCAGGGGTCCGTGCTCTGTCAGGCGTTCAGTTGCATTTTCATTACCCCTTCCCATCCAACCACTTGATAAATCATGTTGTATGTTTTCGATTATGAATAAACTTCAAACTTCAAGTTTATTTATTTGAAAAAGCTAACTTGCATTGGATTAGACATGCATTTAACGAAGGCATCCCAGGCAGCATCTACACATCGAATGTCTGTGAGTAGCAAAAAAAAAAAAAAAGGGTGGTCACAGCACTAAGAACTCGTCACTTAGTGTGCACCATGAAACTTGCATGATTTGCAGAACCGTAGTGACAGGACGCATGAAAAACTGGTAATTCATACTCGAGAGTGTTCAAACCAGTTGAACAACAATAATGGGCGCATCAGCGATTTGTTTGCAGATCACAGTCGGCGATCACACGGCACTTTTCATACAATGTGATTCCCTACTGCACTATGTTGGTTTTGTAACCAAAATGCGCAGCAAGCACTTTTATACGCTTATGACTGTGGGCTACACGGGCATGCAAGCTTTGCTTTACAACTGGTGTGTCAGTCCACGAGCATCTCGTTGTGCAAATAACATGCCTCTTTCTTTATTTATTTTTCACAAAAAAAATTAAGGCCTCTGTACGTCCAGCGCTTCGTTTGTGTGAATATATTGCTTGTGCTGCGCGGTGCCTGAAGCATGTAGTGTGTGGTCAGCGGGCGCTAAACGACTTGTAGAGCAGTGCAGGGGCATATTGCAAGTCTATGTATTATCGGGAGTTCCAAGTTCTACGCCAACAGCGATGACCTTCAATATTCAAGAAAACAAAACACGCCAATGTGGGCTATGCTAATACTGTGGTTGCGCGTGTAAGAGGCGTTATCACCTGCCCACTCCCCGCTATCGACTGTCTCCATGCTCAGAAATAGTTAGCAGTTTCGTGGCACTCTAGAACAGCTGTTGAGAATCGCCAGGGCCAGATAGTTTGGTGACCTATGGGGTAGACTGTTGGTACACTGAAATTCAGTTGGAATGGGCAATGAATTGCAAGAACAATATATTGAGTAACTAAATGCAATGCATTGTTCTACAAGATGAAGATACTACAGATACACATAAACAATGTCATGCAGCTAACTCAGTTGAAACTCTACAAACACCGCTCTAGCAGATACAGTAAACAACCATGAAATATTGAGATTTTCTTTTCAGTTTCTTCCCTCGGAATTCATTTAAGTGAATTCTACAAAAGAAGACGTAAATATAAAGCAAACTTAGTTTAAGTTATAGTTCTACAGCGAGCAAATGATAACCTCTGACCTTGGAACATTCGCATTGTGTTACTGAGTCCCTCACACTTGGTGCGTATTGTGCTAACCTCGGCAACAATTAGTACTTTTGCTCAAATCTAGCATTTACCTATTATTTCAAAATTACATCAATGAGTATAAATTAATTCTTATTTCTACTAATCTGGCAATATTATAAAAATAATTAACGTCAGACATCCTTATGAGAGAAACAAGCAAATCTTCAATAATAGGTTAATGGACAACAAATATGTGCTTCCTAAAAATAACTGTATCCAACACACTTTTCGCCACATGCCACAAAAATCATGCACATGCAAACATATGTAAGTTAGATATTCAGTCAAGCATGTAAATCAATGGCAACTTGATTATGAGGATACAGATCAACTTACTATTGCAAGCATTTGTAAGCAAGCTTCACTTGGAGTTTTTTTTAATTGAAGGAGAACCCATGCAAAACATTTGTTGCAAAACATAACGAGACAGTTACTACATCTAAGAGTGCTAACTACCTCAAGAGCTCATTAGCTGAGCCTTCATCTCAAAGTATGGCCTGTAAGCGATCAAGCACACAAACATTCTCCCACCCGCTCTGTCACTCTTGCATAGAGACCGTTAGACCACCGTGAGAAGTTAATCGATGCTGAAGCATCTGGTGCTAAAACACCTCAAAGATCGCACATCGAAGAGACACTAAAGAGCAAAACGATTTTTGGCGTATCAGAAATTACAATTTACACCACTCTTACTGCGACATGACACTTGGCAAGAGAGAAAACGCGCAAAAAAAAAATGCGGGGGGCGACGCCACCTTGAGCTTCCTGCACCAAAAACAAGTTAAGTAAGAACTTTGATGACGCTGTACCGAGTTTCATGCAGTTCCAATCGATTAACCGAAATACATTATCATCCGTGGGTGCCACAGACTTAACATGCGAAGTTTCAGAAAACTTCATCAAGCCGATGCCACGAAAATACCAAAAACTACAATTGTGAATTTAGAACGTCAAGCGCAGAGAATTTGGCAACAAATTAAAAATTGAACTTCTACCTTGATTTTACCCACTAATATTACCTTATGATAATGAAACACGCGACATTTGAGTTCTCAGAGCACAGTTTGTAAATCTAAACCAACTCTGGTTCCAATTAGTGTCCCTTTAAGCAAGAAGCAATGGTACACATGCGAAAATGTGAACTCTAATAGTATTCAGGTTCAAAAAAAAAAAAAAATCCTCGAGTATAACTGTAGTACATA